GAGAGAGAGAGAGAGAAAGAGTTCTGCAACCCATAAAGTTGGTAAATTAAAAGCTAAAAAATTTATAAATTTTAATGTTTGCGAATATTAGATACCTATAATGTCTCACATTTCCTTACACTTGGAATTTTTATTTTCAACTCAGCTTTAAATTAATAAATAAATTTTTTAATCGAGTAAAAAGCTCTTTGAATAATTCAAAATTTTTTAATAGTTATTATGCACAATTGTGCAGATATGATCCGTTCACTCAAAAACACCTAACCGAAAGTGTAAAGGCACTATTGACGCGCGTGTGATTCTACCAATTCACACAAAGTAATAAATTCAGAGAATCCGCTATCAATATACTGGTGCATGTTTACAACAAATTTCTCTCTGTCTTTTTTTTATAATAACTTGCTGTATAGCTTAAATATTAATGACATAAACGTATCAAATCCAATTCAAAATAGAAATAATCTTACATATGCTACCGCGCGTATCCAGCTTAATAAGATAGATTCACTCAACGTGAGTTCGATAATAGCGCACTCGTCAGCGTAACATAACGCGATAACGATAGATGCAATCGCGGTAGAAAAAATAAAATTGAAATAAACTGACCGCGCATCCCGGGCGAATCCTCATATCTCTCGCAATGCCGCCCGTCGGGCTCGGGCCGCGTACTCTTGCTTCCTGGACGCAGGAAAACGTAACTTACTTCGTCCAATCACTGGAACGCCGTAGTTATATAGGCGCGTATCCTCCCCGAAGGCATCGCCACCAAGAGCGTCACGGTAAGAAAACGACAGTGTTAACGGTGGTGGCGGATTCGGAGCAGTCATGGAGGTGGTTCATTTGTACCTCAAGTGGTGGAAATCGAGGAATTTCAGCTCTTGGAAGGTGGTAGCGTCACCACCGATTTGGATCCGTCGAACCACCCGCAGATGAAATTCCTCCATCTCCATTCTCTCTCCTACACCCCCACTTCCGGCACTCGACCAGGTCTACATCGAGGAGGGAGTCGAGTCATATTATCGTTTGGAGAAAGTGATCGAGAGCACAATCCGGTCAAGCAAGCAGACCTGTTAGTTATTCGCATGCATGTGTTTCAACGTTAAAGTTCAAGCTCGCAAGGTTACGGGACAAGGTTATGCTTTTCACTTTAGATTATACGTATTGCTGGAAAGACAGAAAAAATGTCAAACATTGGTATTTAATATGTTTTTTAATTTTTTAGAATAACAGAAAATTTTTTTACTTGTATAAGGAGAACTGTTTGTTTTATTAATTAAGTTTGCTGCAAAAAGGCTAAACTATTTTTAGCTATTTTCAAACGTTATCTGTATCAAAATTATGATTCAACTAAATTAATAACACATATAATTAAAAATAAAATTGGACACGTTAACTTAGAAGAGAAGTTTAAAAATTGCAACACATAATGGTCGTTTGTGTGGTTTGGTATTTTTAAAGCAGCAATGCGCGTATGTAAAGCCAAAATCAAGTAAATATTGCAATAAGATCAATTGAAATTTGCAAATTATTACAAACATTTTAATGGAGAGAATGCAAAATTCAGAGATGACCCGGAAGCGATCATGTTATGTAGCGAGAATTACGAGCAATCTTTGAATTCTCGTTTAATTCTTGCGCGAAGCTTACGATTGTGTGATTTTCTTTTCATGACGACTGGCATCTCATGAGAGAAAGTGCATATCGACAATGGCCTCTGCATGCAAGCGCATTTTCCGCTTTTTACCGCAAAGACAATAACACCAGACATTCAAGCGGGAAAATTAAATCTAACGAGGAGATCTCACCGTGAGATTCCTTAGCGATAGTGAAAGTGCCTGGCGCTTTTGCTCGTAGGAAAATATATCAAGAGCGATATCAGGGAGCAGTCATGAGTACTATCGAAAATCCAAAGGCGCGTTCAAGTAACAGTAGGCGTTAAACCACGTTAAGTACATATATCCGTTTAACACGTCAAGTCGGACGGAATAGACTCACAGATGAAAGTGAATTTTCTCAATCGTGTCAGCCGTTAGAGAGTCGTGCGAGTTTCGACGGATTCGTGCATAAAACTCGCGATATATACTTTATATATATAGTGTCCGTTTCGTAAATCTCACTCACACGATTATACGTGATTTACGTGATTGCTCTAGATTTTCGAATGTAAGTATGATCCGGATGAAAGTCCCGAACGTATCGTTTTACGCACTTGGAACAACGGTCTTTGATTGAGCATTCATAATTAAATAACGGAATCCAATTATAAAATCACAATTTCGAAATATTGAAGAACTTGTTTTGCTGTACAAGTAATCCAAATATAAATAAAAAGACGCTTTGAGAGATTTTGGTATCTCTGGATATCTCGAGAGTCGAAATATTTAGAAAGCAAAAATGTACGTAAAAACTGTCGGCCGATATGGCAAACAGGTCAAGACAATTTCCACTGGTTCCAATCTTCTATTTGCGCCTTCAAATTTTTTAAACATTACCTGGAAAACAATATTGTTTACGATTTGAAGAAAAAAAATTATTATTAAAGTTGAAAACTCTGCGATATTTTTTTACAGCCCATTATATGTGTATTTTGTATTTTCATTATGGTTTTAATGATTTTCGCTATTTTGCAATTTCTTTCGGTTTGTTTGCTACCTAATTAATCAAGCATCTGGTTCTGCTTAGAACCGGTTTTCAAGTGCTTTGCACTTAATTAGTTTTTTTACTTTTGCTCGTACATACTGCGGCGTAGTCATATTTCCTCTGTAAATTACGTTGGTCTATTAGCTTCTATATACAATTCAAATATTTGATAGAAATTTATTGCAAACACAAGTAAAAAAAGCATAACATGAAGGAAATATTTTGTATTAAATTTCTCTGGTCTATTTCTAGGAATAATTATTCTTAAAGTCTTAGATGAAAAACTTTTTTTAACTTATCAAAAACCAGAAAAGAATAATTATTGATATAAATAAGTAATTTACTATTTTTATGAAATTAAATGTGTATTATCAAAACAAAGATACAATTCATACACTGTGCGGAGTAGAGCATCCTAGCCAAGTTCCAGCAATGTGTCTTTCGTCAATTTCAATGAGATGTAAAAATATTGTTTTATATATACATATATATGGGATTGGTGTCTTTGTTAAAAAGAACCACGGAAGTATGTTTTATGTTACATGAATATAAGCACGCATGCACCTCTTTCCCTTTTCTCCCTTCTTTATGCACATCACATTATACATTTATTCAGTGTCTTATTCAGTGTATGGGAAGTTTAGTTTGATTATGCGAACAAGCGTGTGGCAATGACTAGACAAATTGTGCTGAAATGCAAAGTTCGGCTCTTACATCACACATAGCTGGTCACCGTCATTTGGTGATTTCACCAAACTCTCCTACACCCACGTTGGAACAACCGGATGTTCCACTTGTAGATGCGCATCTAATTATATTTGCATATGCGCATAATTATTTGATGGGTCAGTTTTGTATTGCTAACAACAAGCGACTAAAATGTTTCACTTAAACGACGCAAATTTTATCGGCTATATATGTCACATTGATATAAATTTTACAAGATTTTTAAATTAAACATTTGTTGCGCATCAGTATCCATTAATTCTTTTCTTAATAGCCTGTTTTTATTTGCACGTGCGCGTGTATATGCATGTGAGAAAAAAATTTTGAATTTAGTTTATTACTTGAATTTAAACAATAAGAACAAATTGGAAAAAGATTTCTTTTCATGTATAGAAGTTCGAGAAATCTTGATTGGCATGCGAGTTATTAAAGACGCAGTGCACCTGTTGCACGTAGAGAGACTTGCCCTGTTCGGTGTGAAACAGAGAAACGCAGCGGGAGCAGGTTTTCGACCTGTGAATGACCTTCCGCTGTACTTAACAGATGAGTAGAGAGTTATGGTTGCATCGCTCGACCGAACGATGCATTTGAGACGAGCCTGATTCGAAAGTGAAATTCGTCCTGACTCTATCTCTGATTAGCCATGCGCATATTTGTTCAGCCAATCTACAAAGTATTGTCATTTTTTTATTTTATACGATTGTACTTATTAATTAAGCTTATTTACTTATTTATAAAGCGCTGTGTAATTAATTAAATGAAGAAATAAACAATTATATAAATCAAATTCAATTTGGATAAGTTTCTTAACTAATTAATAAGTAAGCAAAAAGTCGTCATTTACTGCAAATCTTTTACTCACGATCAATAAATATAAAACAGAATTACACATAACAATTAGATATGTTTTAACTTTCTACACACTTGAAGACTACTTAAGAGATACTTAATTGTTATAAAAATTTCTTTTATTAATTTTTTAGTATTTTCTCCTAATTTGTTTAAATTATTAATTGTAATTAATAAAGAAAAAATCATACTTAAAACTTAGCCGTTTCAATCGCATTAATCGTTTAATATGCATTTTATTTATGTGTGTGAAAGTTGTATACTTCTTCAACACTTGTAACTGGTTAAAAGAAGAAATTACAATATAAAATTGCTTTTTTAATTAATTAACTTTTAATCAAAATTATGAACCAAATATAAAAGATTAATAAACATTTTTCCAAATTTTGAGAAATGTAATTCAAATATGCATTTGAATGGATAAGCGAATCAGGTAATCTTGTAGTTTACTAGATGGCAGCATAATGATACTCTTTTAAAAACAGAATATACATTTTTGATAAAAAATAAAAAGTGCAATTTCTTTTTTAAAAGAGATATAAAGACATAAATAAAATAAAGAAGATATATTTTGCAAAAAAACTTACTTCCAAAAAGAACGTTTCTGATCATTTTGTTTTATACGCCACCACGCATTGTGAAACGTAAAAGTAATGTAGTTATAACTTTTAATAATTTTGCATTTTTTAAATAAATACCTATTTATCATAAATTCTATGCTCCCACATATAAGTATCGTGATTAAAAACTAACTAAATTAACAGTTTTTAATTATTTGTAATACGGATAAATACGTATTTGTATGTATTTTCGTTAGTGTATATTAATGCAATATTAATAACGTTATAAAGAAGTATGCGAGTAATGATTGCTTACAACATTGATCATTAAGCGTATAATTTAACCTAGATAATGCTTCGTCAACCAGAGATTCAATCAAATTTCACTTTCCAAGTTGGATCGGATACGCATGACCTGTAGATGCACAAGCATGCTTTGTAACCCATTATGCGAAAGCGTTTGATTTATGTCACATTTTACAGACATTTATTTTATTTGTAGAATAATGTTGAGAAACAATTGATGTACTGTACAGAACGCAATTTAAAATAAAATCAAGAGAGATAAATATTTTAAACTTGTTGTGATCGATGATGTGTTTTTTAATATAAATAATTGCTCGAATAACTTTTTACAGATCTAGTTAGAGAGAAATAAAATATCATCTTAAAATACATTTGGCATGAGAACACGGTTACGTTTCTTGACGTATCAAATTGATTTATTATCTGTTGTGCATAAATTAATACAAACACGTCGATTTCAACGTAATAACAAATTGATGAATCCATTAAAACACTATAAATCTTCTTAGACTTCTCTCACGTAATATGTTGTCGTGCTGATTTTAGCAAATTAATGCTTTATGAACTTTATGAAGAATTTTAATTATAGAATTGCCACTTTCTGCATTTGTCTAAAATTTACAATTCAAACCTTTTTTCCATTTTATTGCTGATTTATTCTGTCAGTGTAGCATGATTGACAAAATCAATTAAACATCTTAAAGATATTGAGTTTGTAAGTAATTTGATTAACTTGGTAATATCGTTAGTTATCCAATTTCAAGAATCGGGTATATAATATTATCTAAAAGTTTAAATTTAACAAAAATGTAACTGTAAATGTAAATGTAATAAATATTAATTGACTTTTTAATTAATCAGAAAATTGTGTCCAAGTTTTCCGCAGAATAAATAATAAAACAACTATATTTTTACGGTTTTATTTCAACATATGATCTATATATTCTTAAGTATAATAAATATTTATACACTTTGTAAAAAAATATTTAAAAATTGACATTTTCCTTGTCTTACTATCTCTATACAACGGCTGTACATGTGTTCTATTATACAGAGTATGATTGTGAGCAATATACATATATCTATTCGCTGCTCTGACTTTCACTCTCCGAACGGATCTTACGAATCCGCTAACCGGAGCTTTTCCTCAAGCTTAACCCGCGTCATTATATGCTAATGGAGCCTGACTTGTGAGAGAATTCACTCGAACTTGTGCCGGCAGCTGCGGGCGAAAGGCACGAAAGCGAATTTATGTCTCGCCGAGGAATAAAGAGAGACTTCCGGAACGATTGTAATTAAGGTCGAGGCAGTGAGGAAAGCAAGATTCACCGCGAGAATTGTACGCATCTTCGGACTCAATTTCAATGTTGTCTCGACCTAAAAAAAATAATTTTACTTTTACTTTTTATTAAAGTCCGCACTTTCGTTAGATCACTCCGAAAAATAAATGACTTTTTGATAAAAAGCATACTATATTAAAAATGTTTCTCACTAAACGCACTTCCCTTCAATCACAGATTTTTTTGGTCAATTTTCCTTAAGAAAAATATCGAAAAAAAGTTATTGTTTTCAATTTTTTTTACTTACGTTATACTACAATATATCTATGCGATTAATTATGAAATAAATTTTTCTTTAAGCAAAATCTATTTCAAATTAAATAAATAATTAATTTATTATTTGTTTTTTTTATATTTTTGGTTTTGACAGACATAACTTTTTAGGTAGTTAAGAAGTTATGTAATTGTAATTCTTATATTAGAGTTTTTACAAAAAAAATCATATATCGCAGTATTTATTGATAAATTTGACAAAGAGAAATTAGCTCACCAAGTAAAATTTTTTTTATATGTTATTTGAATGTTTGGTATAAAATAAAAAATAGATTATTTTTAAATTGTAAACATTTTTATAGCTATTAGATATTTTTTATTATATTATCAATACATTCTTAAGAGACTTATTACGTTTTACTAATTTATCAATAAATAATTCTTGGTGACCTGCAAAATCACCGAAAGTATGGCCATTGATCGATCACGTTTGTTTCTAAATTAAAAATCTTGATGTCTCTTAGTACCTCATACAAGTCCTCATTAAACCGACGTGGGAGATTTAGCAGCTGTATCACTTCCGGTGTCTTCTCTTCCATTCTGATTATAGCCTTTTTTTACGACTTTATATATCACCCCCCACTTACCTCGGCATGATCGTGGAGAAAGTAAAGGTCGTGAGTTCGTCTCGCGACCCTGGAGACCCTGAGACATGCTTGCTCACTCGATTCTCGTCTTATCCTTAGAAAGCATCATCATGTCTTGCTTCTTCTGCGCCTCATCTTTCTTTCACTTTTTTTTCTTACATGTTGCATAGCACATCTTGAAAGTTATCATATTTCATCTAATATGAGTTATAATGGCTATATAAACGAATGATTCATGTTTACGGACAATATTTTAATAAATGTTGTAGAAGACATAGGTAAAAACTTGATGAATGGCACGCTAATCAATTCTATACAAATACGGAGTTAGATATTTTTATAAACTGCCACTATATTAAATTAATAAATAATACTATATTTATAACATTTTTTCTAGACTATTACATTTTTCTTGTTATAATAAGCTACTAAAATAATTTTTTAAAACAACAAATTACATTATTTGTCATGTGTAAAAGAACTTGATTTGAATTTACTTTATGTTCCTAGATAAGCTCGAACTATTTGTATTGCATACAAATCTTTAACACTTATTGCATTTTGCTGACATTCTTTGCAAATCAGAAGCATGTCGATTTGCTTTTCAAAAGAAAGATCGAATGATCTTTCTGTTGATACTTATGTAATATCTCGGTTACTCGATTTTAAGCCTAAAAAGTGTAATACATTTTTTGTTTTTAGCATCAAATGCTTTAACAATTTCCATAAAACAGTGATTAAAAAAAAAAGATAATCTTTAAAGCTCCAACTCCAGCTAAAGCAACTCCACTTATTGTTAGAAAGAAAATGTTAGTGCCATATGATAACCGCTTCTACATCGTCTAACTTCTACCAGACAATTTTTCTTCTACTCTAATAATTTCAAAGATATTCGAATTGGTAATGATTATCGCCTCACTCTGTATTTTACTGATTATGCATTATAAATAAAACTTTGTTTAAAATAAAAATTTATTTATATATTTGATGAGTTTTAATAAAACTCTAGAAATAATTAATCAACATTATTATATTAATTTATCAAATCTATATATGTAAATATTTTCTTTAAGTATTTTTATTTAAAAGAATAGTTTTAAATGAGACTGAGTATTAATCTCAGCATGTCTAAAACTGCAAATTTCCACATTTACATAATGTTTCTATTAATTTTTTTCTTTGAAATATTGATTTTATAATATTATAAAAAAACTATGCAAAAAAAGTTATTATTATTAAAATATGAAAAGGAGATTAAATTAATCCGTAATATAATATAAAATAATATTTATTAAAGTATAAAAAATATTAACAAGCACACATCCCAATAATCAAACGATATTTACAAAATTAAGAATGAATTACATATAATATTAATATGGACGGAGTCATTCCAAGGCTCGCAATCAATAAATCATGTATGTAGTGTGGAAAAAATGGACGAGAAAAAGGATTCAATTTGAAATTGTTTAAATAAAACGAGAAAACATCTGATAAACAATCTAAAAAAGTAAATATCTATTTTTGCATGCACAAATATAAGTGAGGAATACGTAAATATTTATTGCGACATTGTTCTCCACTGAGTGAGTGATAAATGTTTTTCGACTAATTAATTTTAAAGCTTAATTTAACAAATTTAACAAATTTATTTTTAGAATCAAAGCGTATTATTTTGCAGATTTATCCAATGAAAATTGGTTGTCAGCACAGTTGTTCTTTCAAGATATATTCCGTGTAGATAACGTTTACAGATAATTTTATTAAATCATATTTACGTATAAGTCACAATGATATCTCGATGATAAATTCTTTTGCCGGTATGATATTTCATGAAGAATCATAGGCTTTGATAAATATGCGATTTAATCGTTATCTGTTCTTGATGTGATCGATTGAAAATTTTCATCGCTCACTTTCATGTGCATTTCATCGTCGCAATGCTTTCTAATTGTTAGCTGTAGGCCTTTTCTCTTCTTCGTACGATGCGTATTAGCCCGAAGGCTCTCCCCTCTTGTTTTTTTCGAAATGTATGTCTACAGGCGAGCAATCCATTATCACAATATTGTAAAGTTTGACCGACTTTCTTGGTTAGCTGATGCTGATAATTCGCAGACGATTTTTTGAATCGACCTTTTGATCTTTAGATGCCTCGCAATGCAGAAGAAAGATCGAGCCATCAAACCTGACCCTCGATAATGATTTACTTATAACCGTGATGGTCCTCGTCATGGTGAGATTCGATGGGGACCCAGACTTTCTCCCAGACAGGCTTCCAGATCTTTTTCCAAGCTGGTACTTGCACGTCCTTCCAAGCCGGAACCCACTTGCTTTTCCATTCATCCTTCCACACCTGTTTCTTTTGCGTGACCCAGATCTGCTTCTTTTGGGGCACCCATACTTGCACCGACTCCTCTTGCCAGATCAACTTCTTGTCAGTAGCCCAAGCTTGTTTTTTCTCCGTCTTCCAGATCTGCTTCCATTCAGCCTTCCATTCTAATTTTTTATCGCTTATCCAAACCTGTTTTTTTTCCGTTCTCCAGATTTTCTTCCAGACCGGCTTCCATATCAATTTTTTCTTCCAGAGACTGTGGCTAGTGTATTGCCAGCCGTGCTGATCTTTACCCACGTATTGTTCGCCCGGTATGCCGATTTTGATCCATTCTGGCACCCATATCTTTTTCCAATCGGGCACTTGGACCTCTTTCCACACAGGGACCTGGACTTCTTTCCAGACGGGCTTCCAGATTTTCTTCCAAGCTGGAACTTGAACTTCCTTCCAGATTGGCACTTGGATTTCCTTCCAAATAGGCTTCTGAACTTTTTTCCAGGCAGGTACTTTGACTTCCTTCCAAGCAGGTACTTGGACTTCCTTCCAAATCGGCACCTGTATCTTTTTCCACTCTTGTTTCCAAATCATCTTTGACTCCGTTTTCCAGATTTGTTTCCATTCGGGTTTCCATACCAATTTCTTTTTCCACACACCTTTCGGTTGATGATCGTGCGCCGGAGGTCCGTAAGATCCACTGGGTGGACCACTCGGTGGACCATAGGATCCAGATCCGAAATCACCGCCCGATGATCCATGATGATCGCCACCATCTCCGATGGATCCGTGATCATCACCGAAAGATCCGTGACCACCGCCGAAGGATCCACCGCTGTGATCGCCACCGCCGAAGGATCCGCCGTTGTGATCGCCACCGCCGAAATCGTAGGATCCTGCGCCGTGATCGCCACCGCCGAAAGATCCATGATCGCCGGATGGTGCCCCGTAACTTTGCGAAGGCGCTCCGTAAGATGAGGAAGGCGGTGCGCCGTACGATGAAGAAGGCGCGGATGGTGGGCCGTAAGATGACGAGGGCGCAGACGGTGCGCCATAAGATGACGGTGGTGGAGGCGGTGCGTATGAATCAGAGGGTGCACCATAGGATTTTGAAGGTGGACCGTAAGAATCGGACGGCTGACTTATTGGTGGTGCGCCGTATTGTGAGCTTACAGGAGGCCTGCAGTATTTCTTTCGTTAGAATGGAAAATTATATGCTATAGAAATATTATATTTTATATTATCATAATTTAACGAAAAGTTCAATATCTCAAATTTTACTTAATATCATCACACATACACAATATGTATGTCAATATCTAATTGTATACTTACTCTCTCTTTGTTCTAATCGGCTCTCCTAGTGTAGAGATAACAAAGAGACCGCATAATATTGTCTGAAAACATTTTTTTAATTAATATTACACAGATTTTTGCACATATGTACTTTTATTGATTTACAATACTATTTAATAAATTTACATAAATGTTTCGTACAAGTATTTTCAGATATAATATTTATTGTCTAATGATAAATATGATAATAATAATAATAATAATGATAAAAAATATAATAATCAGCTATTTAGAGCAATAATCATTTTTTATATAAAAGATATCCTATAACATCTCTCTTTTGTAAAATAGTTTTCAAAAAATAAGCGATGATTCATCAAATACCTGTCGATTAACGCACCATTTAGACTATCATTACTTTAAATGTACACACGGCATTATTAAATTACACACTTTTGATTATTTTTAAATGTATTGCGTTTGAATACATAATATTTGTTGGTTTAAAAATCCAGAGCTATTTAAATAACTTGTGTATATGTTACTTGATTGAGAAATTGGTTAATAAATTCAAAGTTGAATCCAAAGTAAAACTTTTAAACCGGAAGTGTAAGGCATTATTAACGGCTGTTTATGTAAAAGAGCAAAGACACCTAATTGCACAATACGCAAAGAGAACCGTAACTGCCGCCCGCGTTAATAGTCTTTTTTTCATAAGCGTTTTGCGTCTTCGTCATTATCGCATTTACGCAATTGACGGTCATTCAACTTTTCAACTTTTCGTTGGGGGATCTTTTAACGTGAACAGCGGAAATCCTGCGGATTTCTACGTTGATTTGCGTTGGTTTTAAGAACGTGTCTCTCAAAAATGAAAGTGTCCGCCGCGTGTGAATACGCGGTCGTCGTAAACACTGGCACAAATTGGGTCGACTCCCCCCCCCCCCCACCACGTCTTCGTATTTCACTGATGGGGCCATCGAGACCGTGAAACCTGTACCAACTGGAAAGTAGGCTTCAAGATTCATCTTTTTTTTCCCAAGTGTTACCCTTAGGCGATTGTCCGTTGCGGTACACAACCCTGCGGCAATAGACTTTCATGTATTTTAGATATTCATGCATTTCATGTATTTTAATATCCCACTTATCTCTTTCTTTTTTGCTTTTTCTTCTACAAAAGTCGTTCTACTGTTTCGAAAAAAGAATTACTTTACGTACGTAGGTCTGAGACATTTTATGAGCCATAATCAGTGTGATATTTAAATGTTTAAATTTTTCGATTTATAGATTTAATTTAGTACTTTAAATTATACTGTTGTTTTGCATGTATCTACGATCGCTTAATTAAATGTTTCAAATATTTAAATATTCAAATACTTATATTTTTATATTTGAATATTTGCATATCTAAATAACTTATATTTTGTGAGATATTTTAGCATTGAATTAAATGGTTGACATTAAAATTTGCAGCATCAAAAAATTGTGTCTGCGAAACGCTGCGTTTATCTATTACTGTACCGGATATTGCTGTAATGCCAACAGAAATTTAATAATTACACGTCATTATATACTAATTAAACAGATTTGCCTATTCTCAGATTAACATAACAATAATAATTATTTGCATATTATTTGCATACTAATAATGACCTTGGCTTACTTTCATTTCAATGCAACTTTATATGATCCCTTTATACTTCTATGTTATCTTATTTCGTACAGATATCGATTCGTGAAAAAATTACCTGATGATTAATATCCTGATGATGATATCTTGATTATTCTATCTAATCAATATACTACAGGTATGCTACAGGTATTTTTGGTTATTTGCGAGAGAATATAAATAAGAATTAGTTTTTATTAAATAATACTAAAATGATAAAACTTTTTTATGTCGAAATAAAAGATATCTCATCAAAATAATATTTAAAAACATCTCAAAATAATATTTAAAAATGTTGCAAATTTAAGATTATTTCTTTTTAATAAAAATATAAAAATTAATTAAAAGTAAATATAAAAATGTCATATAGGAAAAATCAAATTCTAAATAACACTGACGATTGTTCATCACATATATTTTTATAGAAATAAATTTCTCAAGTACCAATAGAACTTGGTGAATCACTCAGTCCAAGATATTTCAACGCTGCAGTAAAGTAGCGGAATACACTATGTAATTGTGCATAATTGTGCACATTGTGTTAAAACGAGGTAAAAAGTTAATGCAAAAACGCTAAGTGTTTTAGAATACCAATGGCTTTGATTTTGTCGTCACTATTGAGTTTTATTAATACGATACAGTTTCGAACGGTACCTTTGCTCAACTTTCCATTCCACAAAATGAAAAGTGACAAGAATGCCCGCTTATAGCAATTGCCGTTGGAAATGGTAGTAATTTACCGGCTCGTTTGTAACCATTTACATTAATGCAGCGCTGCTTTTATGCGTGGTTCAAGATCATGGTGTCGAATTTGTTCAGTTTTTTTTTTTTTTTTTTTTTTTTTTTTAATTACGAAATAAAATGTGACATCTTCGGAAAATGTTACTTCTACCAAAATGCAAAGATTGTTGTAGTTTACTATGAAGATAGTAAACTGATATTATTCGCGTTTACAATGTTTAAGATTTTTAAATAGTATTACATTAATTATAATTATGTAAAATTGCTTCTTTGTTAATTATTTGAAAAGCTCATAAATGATTGAGCATTAAAATATTCAAGATATTGATATAGATATTCATATAAATATAGTTAAATTTTATCTGTAACATTATATTACACATCTATTGTATTATCTATAAATTTTAAGAATATTAAGTTTATTTTGAAAATTTTATTTTTAGTTTTATTTAACTTATAACGTGTTGGAAAAAATTTGCTACTATTATAAAATAAACGATAAAGTTGGAGTTTCACAAAATGTCTTCATTATTAAAGATTCACGTTTCACATTTTACTTCATGAAATAAAAAATTTAAAAAATAAGAAGATCAAGTTAAAAGATTAAACGTAAAGTAAAAAAGTAAAAAAACGCGCACAAAATGCATTACGTACTGTAACGTGCGTTACGTATTGTTGATAAAAATCTAAAATGCCCTATAAACGATCGTTTCTCGATTTTATAATCGATAATGTCGAATCACTTTTTGTTCAAGAGACCTTCTCACATATATCACAGACACACTGACACATGATAATGATGAGGAATGAAAGCGGTGTGATAGACGATGATGAACACTGACCAGAATAAGCCGCATGTTTCCTCGATGAGGGTTGTGGCCCACCATGTGAGGAAAAATGACAACGGCCGCCGTCTTTTTTTACGGTTCGTCACTCTTCTGACGAATTCTTCATGACATTCGTGGCTTTTATAGTGGATGCTCCTCTGCACGTCTAGACGCTTAGATACACACAGGCACCTAAACATACAGGTATTTTGAGGAGGGGTACAAAGAGAGTCACGGTACTCTGTACGGGAGTCCTTCGTGTACATCTTCAGTTCAGGTGGGGATTCCTTCGTTCATACTTTAGTGAATGTGAAGAAACAAGGTACTAGATAATAAAATATAACGCAATTCACCTAACTTTAAGAATGTATGGGTTACATGTTAAAACATTAGTAACACTGTAAATATTTTATAGACTTATCATTTGTTTTGAATATTTCTGTGTAAAATCTAGAAGACATAATTCTTTGTTTAATTTAAAAATTATTAAATTTTTATGTTTACATTAGTTGTTCTTTTTTAAATTAGACGTATACTTTGTACAGGTTATATTGTAAACTTATCGACAAATTTGATAAAGAAAAAAGTATTGTCAATTATATATAGATTAAGTTTTTTATCATCAATTTAATTAACAAAAATTAATTACAAGTATTTTCTCCAATAAAAATATTAAAACTTATGTTGATTTGTAATATTGTATAGTATTTATGAAATGTGTAAAATATACATAATACTAATGTAATTTAGAAAACGAATAAAATTCTAAAATTGTATAAAATTAATAGATTTATTATAGAATGTGAGCGAATACCAGTAACGGAAGGTGATATGTAACCAACTAGTGTTCGATGACACGCGACATACGTAGTGTAGAACCGGTAATGACTTTCTCGATAATTATGATCAGAGTCTTTTAAGTGATCACTGCCGCGTGGGGCATGGACTTTCTACTACTTCTTACATTGCTAACTATATACATATGATATTGAATTTTAAAAAGATATACATTTCAGAGAAAAATTGTTAACACGACTAAATAACGTATAATTGATAATCATTTATTTAGTTTTAAGATATTTATGTATTTGAATAAAACATACATTATTAATATTAACAAATTTTTATTAAAACGAATAATAATGTAGTAATAATTGGAGTAATTTAATATTATTATATTTTGCATTTAATAAAACATATTAAATATTTTTTTCAGTTTCAATTTTTTTTCTTACTGTTAGTATATGTAAACCAAAAAAATGTGTCAATTATATAAAACTCTCTGATATATTTTTTAATATATGTATATCGCATTATTTTGCAAATGCTTTTCTTTATCTTATTGGCGAGATGCGTCCCACGATACAACACGGAAAAGCGCATTTCGTAATGCACATGAGAATAATTTTGTCTGCATAGCATTTGGTGCGTGTGCACTAGCATTCGCCACCTGTGGAGTCTCACTTTGACTTTCTTCCTCAGGGTTACTGCCGCTTCTCATGCTGAAAAGTACTTGCATCGTAACTACCTTTCACCGACAACATCTTTCACAGAAGATGCACCGGTTGCATCGATGTTAGATGATTGAGCAACAAAACCAATTACCATTTGTAATGTATTGCTTTTGTTTATAAAATGTATCTTGTAACAAATATATTATATTGTGACATATACGATAGCAAAAATCATGTATATATATATATATATATATATATATATATATATATATATATATATGTATATATATATGCATATAAAAAAATAAATAAAAAATGTAAAGTAAATTTTTCTTATTCAAGACTTTGTTTCCAAGAAAATTTATTTAAAAGATTAAAAAGTTGATCAATGTGTTTTTTTTCTTTATTATTAATTGTTTAACAAATTAACAAATCTAAATTTTAAACTCTTATGCGTAGGCCTCAATTCTCCATTACAATAGACAAGGAAGCGAGAACTGGGAGAGTCGTGAGACTTGGGCCGCACTAGTGGAATTACTTTGACTTTCTTCCGATACGATGTCCGAAGTAGCTGCCTTTTCGATTTTTTTGTCTTCAAGTAGATAATCGAATCGCTTACTTTCACTATGTCTCGAGAATGCGCGATTTTTGTTGTCGACACAAGATCCGACGAGCCTCAAGTATATTATGTATGACGGTTGTTAAAACAGACACAGCCAATAGAGAATGGACATAAATATTGAACGATGGCTCTTTGCCTAATATAATAGATAATAAACATTTTGATATGTCAATCGTTTTTAAGAAAGCATTTACAAAAATAGAAAAGGAATCCATTTACACCCAGTATTAGATTGTATCACATTAAACTGCCACTTTTGTAAGTCAAAATAAGAACGCTGTATTTTCGAAGATATAAATTTTATTTAATCAAAATCTACATTATTAGCATTAATGAGTTTTTCTTCCTTTTGTTTTTAATACGGCATTAAACAGAGCATTAATCAAATTAATGTTCTTTCCGGAAACTAATTAATGTTTCTGCTTGACTTTGCTAGGCACTAGGCCCTAAATTAAATTTATATAAATACATATTTGCAATTTGTTCAAAAATAAAAAAACAATTTGGTAATTGAAGAAAATTAAAAAATACAATACTATTATAAATTTTACATAACATAACGGGAAACACACTTAATATTAAAATGGAATTATCTTCTCTATAACTTTACAATACAGGCGCAATGTAGCACGTGTAATACCTATAGGAAGATTTATAGAACCAGCGTCACGGAAGGTTCACTTTCCTTCCGCATTTATACACAGCAGTAATCATCGCAAGTCATTTGCACGGTAGAGAAAATATAAGATTCTCTCTCTTTCCTGCCCCTCTTCCCACGCCCTTCTCCTCACACTATCTCTCTTTCTTAAAGAGATATAAATGTGATAAAAGCCTACTTTTAATTAAGATTTACCATGATACTATCTGTAATCTCAAATCATCTCTGACGCAAATCTATAAATTACATTTTATAAAAGGAGATGACAATATTTTAAATGTACTTTGCAAACGAAAATCATGCATAAAGAACGCTTTAAATTTATGCTTTATTCTTAGTTATGCTAATATTATCATTCTTTTATTTTTGATTATACCACAGTGTAATTAGATCAACTCTCTGTAATAAATTTTCCACATACATGAAATTTTTCTTTCAAATAATCAACGATTAAATTTACAAATCTGAGTTTTTATCCAAATAACAAGTAATTTAAAAAAGTGAATAAAAAATTAATAAAAGACTATAAATTCTTGTAAACATTAAGTACATAGTAACAAATAATTTAAAAAATTTATAAAATTATAACTATTAGGCAAATAAATTCTTGATTCCATACATCTTCTTATATTGCATCAATGTATCCATAATGTGATCGACTGAAAAAATAGCGGCTCTTTCTACCAGGAAGTCTAACATAGCTGTTTCACTTTAGTCCAATCCATTAAACAGTTTCTGCGGGCAAATATCTGCTGGCATGTTGCACAATCGATCGTCGGCGACGTTACATACAAATGCAACCATTCAATGTATCCGTTATATCATATAGAACGTACTGAATTGCTGATTACATAGACTTTGCTAGACCGACTTTCAATCTTAACCTGCGACCGATTGCCGCAATTTTCAAGCAGCGTACACCAATGATCGTGAGTCGACTTCATAATTGCGCCGTGATTTATCACAATCTCAGATGCCAAGTCGCAATAACGTTATATCGAAAAGAAAGTTGTACAGGGTGTGCTGAAAAAAGTATTATCCATATAGTCTAATAAAACATAATATATTTTTTCCATAAAAATTTGTTTGCGATGTTATCGTTAAAATGAGATTTGACCGCACAAATTTATTATTTGTAGCCATAGTTATTAAATAATCATAATGATAGAGGAACAAATTTCTTTTCTTCCGGCAGTTTGCTTCTATCATGCGCTTCCTGTACTCACCGATGCGTACAGTATGAAATTTGCCTAATCCAGGAAGACTGAAATGTTGTATGTATAAAATATTTTATAAATTAATCTTTTCTAATTCTTGTATAGCCAAGGTGGCGGGAAACATGGTACGTATGAATAAAGAGTAATTTCTTGTTAAAAAAGTATATCAAATTTAAAAAGAAGGTTTTGTTTGTACAAAGTTTTTGTTTTGAGAGAAACAACTTTAAAATGCTTCTTCTTATAATTTCTTTATTTTATTAATAAATAAAATAAAGAAATTAATCTGAAAATGTGTTTATTTGATGCACAGACATAATTTCTATTATCTAAAAAAGGATAATTCTTCACTCTTTAGTTAGTAGTTTAGTGCGCTAAACCCGAATCTGACTTTAAAAAAACAGTGCGTATTATTAAAATTTTGGGGACATTAAAAAAATTTATACCAAAAATAATGATTGGTGATTATATTAACAATACTGTTAAAAAATAATTTTTTTCCTTCAATAACTATTACGTCATCTTAAAATTTTTTTTCAAAATAAATAAAGAAAATTAAAAAAAAGACATATTTATAAAAAATGTGATCAAGATTCTACCTTTATGTACGACACTTTGGATAACGGAGAAATGTTAAATTATCAATATATAGAATGTAACTGATATAGATTGTATGATTGATTAATTGTGATAAGTTGTACATCTCTAATCTATATTTCTCCGATATGACAGATAAAAATCCATAAAATCACGTATTATCAATCTCAACATTTAGTTCCTGTAAGCTTTCGTTACAGACATCACAATGCAGAGCCTGATTATTTATATTCTTACTGTATTGTGTTTTGTCCCTGGAAATATTGGTAAGAAATAAGTAATCTTATAACGTTTTCGATTGAACGGATTTTTATCCATTCCAGATCAATTAATTATTATTTTCTTATAAATTCAAGTCTTTTATTAGCAAAGAATGTGCAATCATTAATCGCTTTTGAATCGATCAAAATCTTTTCAGTTCTAAAACATTACTGCATAGTTTAATTAATAGTAAGTAAAATTTTTGAATATTTATAGTATTATGCATATTTGCACATTTCTATTTGACACAAGTTTGCCAAATTTGGTATAAGATAAAAGCGATAAAGCATTCGATTGTTGCATTCTTAGTTTCTATTACGATGATGCGAGACGAGTCATGGGAATTTACTTTATGATTTCTTTTAAAGATTGGCAAATTTACTTTAGGCCTTCGCTTAACAGGCACATGCCATTTCAGCTACTCGTCTTTGCGTCGCCGACTTTCATCATTGTTAATAGCTCAAGTGTTTTTTTCTTGAAATTCGATTTTTGCACACACGAAAGTGATGATTTCTAATTTAATATGTCCAAATATATCATACAATTGACATTTTAAATATAGAAGAAATGCTCTGAAAAGTATGTGTATTTTTTTTAAGATAGCTTGATTATCTGCTATTTATCATACACATTTTACAAAAGATTATTTCACAATATTACTTTCGTACGTAGATATTATTTATTGTGAAAGTATTTTAATCATATTTTTGGTAGAAAGAAAATATAATAAAAAGATTTAAGTAAGCAAGTCGATTGGTTTTATAAAAGTTTGGCATATATATAAAAAAAATAAATTTCTAAATAATACAAAGAAGGCTAAAAATTTTTTCCAAAAGCGTATCAAAAAAAGAAGAAAGAATTACGCGTAGACAATAAAAAATATTATATTCTAAATACTTTTTATAAATAGAAATGTATTCCATTTATTCCATTTATGTATGTGTGTATAGTTATAAATAATTAAAAATTGTTCAATAAAAGGAAAAAAGGGATTTGGTCCTGGAGAACAAGAATGGGGCTATGTACAAGTGCGTCCGTATGCCAACATGTTCTGGTGGCTTTATTATACTACGGCAAATGTTAGCTCATTTTATGACAAACCATTAATTATATGGCTACAAGGTGGGCCAGGTGGATCTTCGACGGCATATGGAAATTTTGAAGAACTAGGACCTCTCGATACAAATCTGAATCCGAGAAATTATACTTGGGTAATAAATTACTCCCTTAATAATTTTACCTTTTATCTTTAGATCCATTCATATCTTCGTTTTCTCTTTCCATCTCTTCTTCCCTGACTTTGAGCTTTGTAAAGCTCAAAATTAGCGTGGCAATCAAAATGTTTAAGTAAACTTAGATTTCTCATTATACAGACAATCTTCAATTTATATCTGTCACAGGTCAAGAATTATAACGTTCTCTTTATTGATAATCCTGTTGGTACCGGCTTTAGTTATGCTGAAACCACATCAGGATTCGTGAAAACAAATGCTCAGATTGCAAGCGATCTTTTAGAATGTATGCGAGGATTCTACAAACAATTGCCAAAATTTGAGAAAGTGGCAACATACATTACCACTGAATCGTATGGTGGAAAAATGGGCGCAGAGTTTGCTCTTGTCTGGTATCGAGTAAGAAACACAATGTCTTTCTAGAACACATATCATCAAACACAGCAAAGATGTTTAAAGAGAGATGTACAGTTGGAATGATAAACAGTCTTATTTTTTGCTAATATACTTTTATTTTTACAAATAATATCATCCAGTCAAATAATCATAGCGCCATCTTTTAATATACTTCTCGTAAAACCGTAGATCATGGGAAGTCAGATTCTAATTTAATATAAAATATAAATTTTTTATAGGCTCAAAAAGCTGGTACCATCAAAAGTAATTTAAAAGGAGTCGCACTCGGGGATTCTTGGATTTCTCCTATTGATTCTGTGATGACATGGGCACCATTTTTACTTAGCACGGTATAATTTAATCATTTATTACCCTTACGGTTCTTTCTTTCTCTCTCCCCTCTCCCTTTCTTACTTTCTTTTGTAAAATTTTTTTAAATTGACATACTTTACAGGGTATGGTTGACACGGAAGGTTTTGAAGCAATTAACACTGCGGCGAAAATAACAAAAGATAAAGTGGAAAATAATCAATGGGAAGCAGCAACAGATTATTGGGCTTATACGCAAGGCATTGTCTTACAAAAAACTTACAATGTTGACTTTTACAATATTCTTACAAAAATAAGTTACTCGGGGTTAAATCTTTCATCAACACAGGATGTACTTTTCTTTGACAAAGGTATGTAATTGTACGATGTCAAATAATATTATTACAAATATCATTTAAAAAATTCAAAAATTTTTTCAATCTGCAGAATAATACTATTATAATTAACAATATCACATTAATAAAATAAGTATGTTTTTTTATAAAAAAAACTTTTATACATTGTTTACATTTTAATCTTTTCGTCAATTTTAATAGTCAATTTTAATTTTATTAGTTGTTTCAGTATTATTTTCAAAATTAAAATTATGTTGAGTAACTAAAAAGAAAAAATTTCAAGAGTTCTTTCAAGCGAAACTAAAATTTCTTTTTATGATATTTGTAACTGTCATATTTGTTATATTGACTATTGCTTAACAAATTTCAACTCTGTTTTATAGAAATCTTAATTTAATAGAAGAATAGTTCAATAAGCAGTTTAATAATTTACTTTGCGCGGAGAGAATGTCTAATTATAATTCTGGAAATAGAAAATATTTATAGAGTCAAATCAGGTGAATATGACGAATGGTGAATCACTGCTACCAAATATTTACATACAGCAGTACTCTATTAACGAATATAGCGTAAATTGGAAATAGTTTTTACTTTCGCTTGCTCAAATCATTGCGTAAAATGTTGTGAATGGTAAATTTTGACACTAAATTCCTCTACCAGCGTTCACACAGTCATATTCGAGTCGACTGCTATGTTTGAATACCTTTTCCACGAGATCTTCCGTCAAAGTCGTTTTCGGATACCCTAACTGTTCATTGTCTTTCACAGATTTTCGCTGCCATCTTTAAATCTTGCAAACCACTCGTAAACTCTTATATAAAATAGACAATTGTCTCCGTAAAATATTACATATAATAAAAATCGTATTGTACAACATGTTATTAGAATAATAGAAAAATATTTTATTATATATTATATCACGTATTTTTTATATGACAAATTGCAGATACCATATATCAATACTTGGTCCAGCCTCATTTTTTTTCACTCGACAGTTTGATGAATGGTCCAGTGAAAAAAGCACTCGGTCTCAAAGTTACTCATGGTGTCCAATCTAATACAGTTTTCACGTACTTGAGCGAAGATTTTATGAAACCTGTTATTCGTGAAGGTATCTACCAAGTATGCAAAAAGAGAAATTAAAGCAAAAATGAAAAAGGAAGTAATGTCGACAGATGAAACATCGTTATTGTTTTCAAGTAAAGTGAATGTAAAGGTTCAGCAATTAAATACAAAAGTTAATAAATTAAAAAGTACATAAATTCGTAAAATAAAGGAAACTGTGAATAAATATGTAATGTTATAATTACTTAAATCTAATACATGTATTCTGATGCATACGTTCGCTTCACTCTGAAACTGAATAATTTTGTAATGTAAAAACCTATTGATGCAACTTATATTTCTTTAATAAAATCTAGTCACTAATTATAAATCTTATTTTAGTGGAACTGTTACTTAATGAAACCAACTTAAATGTATTCGTGTACACTGGACATATGGACTTAATTGTTGATACACCAGGTAAGTTATCGTCACACACAATTATTTCGATTAGCTAACTTGCTATTTGATTGCGCACTCATAGACCAAAAGTGATTAATAGATATAATCACACATAGATATAATCACGCGCATGGCATTTTTATTCTGCATTATAATATATTGCATTTTTATATGTAGTATATGTATAATTTTTTTTTTAATATATTGAAATAAATTTAATAAAAGAAATGCCGGTTACTTGCTTTTTAAACATACTGTATCTGATCGATATTGACCACCATTCTTGGATATTGCTATGCGTAGTTGTTTTACATTTTTTTATATATGTTCCTGCATCTACAACATTTGATATCGACACAATGTTTCAGGTACTCTTCTCTGGGTCGAAAAATTGAAATGGAAAGATGCCGACATCTGGAAAAAGTCAAAAAGATATCCGCTCATAGCCGAAAATATTGTCGAAGGTTATTTTAAAGCACAAAATAATTTCAGGATGTATTGGGTCAACAGAGCTGGGCATATGGTACGCACATATTTTGTTATATTTTTTTGTTTTTCTCTCATTTAACTTCCGTGCTTATTATAATATAGTTACAAGCAAATTCCAGGATTGCTGAAACTCAAAATTAATTCGCAATAGAATCCTAACTCGTGTTATGTATTTAATGATATCCCTGTCGTACAGGTTCCAAGAGACAACCCAGCAGCTCAGGAAATAATACTACGGGACTTAACAAACAATGCAAACAATTGAATAAGAAGTATAATAAAAACTAGCTTTTCTCTTTAAACATATATGTGATTTCTTTTTATACATATACATATATGTTTATAAATGTGATTTAAATAATGCTACTGTATTCTTTTTAAATTAATAATAAAATTAATAAAATTTTTAAGAAGAAATTGTGATTAAAATAATTACATATTATATTTATCTATTCATTTGAAAAATTCTAATTACGTTATCGTAATCTCTCACATGTTACATTAGATATATCGCGCGTAGAATTTTTATTGTGTTACTTACCTTTTGCACTTTAATATGATCATTTATCTGTATCTGTGTAATTCCATTTAATAATGCACTATAGATTGTTGAAAAAAAATTTAGAACCTAATAAGTAAATATTATTAAATCTTGAGCATAAAGGAAATCTTGACATGTAGAGTAGGTATATATATACCTACTTTAAATACTAAATACTTTTAAATACTTAAAATAAATACTTAAATACTTAAATACTTAAATATATACCTACTTTAAATACATTTAAATGTGGAAAATCCATTTTTTTTACTTTAAAATAAAAAATTACAGCAAGCTAACTTCTAATCTTTTTGCATATATCGTTTATTATATTCTGTTTAAAATAAATCAACATTTTTCAATTAAATATAATATATTAACTTACATGTGATTCTCTGATTTTTCTAAAATATTACAACACGGCCCTCAAACATTTGTTCCAGAGTTTTTGTAAGAGTAACATTAAAGTTATCTTATAAGCACGTACAGAATTACATTGGTAGTCAAATAACATATACAAATAGTTCATACGCATGCACACACACACGCGCGCGCACACACACACAACCACCCACACATCTATCTTTGTTACATATAGTTGCGTTAAATTACCTAATTCTCGCACACACACATGCATAAATATGTTATTATATATAACTGATTATTATATACTAATATTTTATATGAATAATGAAACGTACAAATAGACTGCGGCAATCTTAAACATGCTATTAAAATTATAATCGTACATCAGAGCTCGCACTTATGATTATCACAATGGAATACATAAGTTTCTTCCTCTCTACATCTCTCTAATGTAGCTATTCCGTAGATAGACAGTTTAAAACAATCAAAATTAAATAAGAATATCATTAAGAATTTTATCAGGTTGGTATTCTGTGATTCGTTCACAGGCAGCAAATTTTTTTAGCATTATATTATTCTGTAGCACACCAACTCCCGCTGTACATTGTTTGTTAGTTATAATAAACAATAATTCCAATCAAAATCGACAATATAACTGCTGCTATCAGTATGAGAATGCACTTTTTTTTACGCAACTTAGTTTGATAGAGACTCGCTTGTCTTACTTGAGAAGCACCTTCATTAACGGATACCTCGGTTCTTTCAACTGAAGCTTCTATAGAATCAATCACTTCTCCTTGATCATACACTAGAGCTCCGAGATCTTTGAATATTTGATTAATATCACTAATGTTACTCTGTAAAAGTAATAAATAATGTCATTATATTTGCATATATAGATTTATAACAAAAATACTTACCTCTAATTGTCTTATACTAGCTTCTTGTTCTTCTAACATTCGTAAATTCATCTGTTCCTGCAGTTGTTCTTGTTGTAGTTTTGAATTATCATTAGAATATGTTTTACTATCTTGTAATTCTATGAGAGTCTCTTGTTTCTTTTCTCCAAACGGTGTAATGCCTGCATTAGCCTTAGCCTTCCTGACCATTTCTTTCTCCTTGGAAGCAGCCAGTCTTTGTACAGCCTAAATTAAAAAAAAAAATTATTTACAATGTATCGCAAATAAATAAAATTTATGTAAAATTTATGTATTGATATTTACTTGAAAAGAATTTAATGCACTTGTAAATTCATCTTGAAGGCGTTCTCTTTGCATTTTACGCTGCCTCTGTTCTCCAGGACTCGTAGAACCAGAATTATTGGCTAGTATAGCTAAATCTCGAAGATGAACGCTAGTATCTTTTGCCAATTGTTGAGTATAATGTTGTATCTGATGCCTATACAAAGTGAAAAAAATTGATAAAATATTGACTTTTATTTTCTCAGGCACTGTGCAACTTACAGCTGATTCCTGAGTTCTTGAGAGTCGGTAGAGCTACCCAACTGATTGACCATTTTCTGCATGGAAGATACTGCAAAATAATTATAGATAAAAATATGCCACATTTTTTCAACCAAATCTCGTTGATTATACAACTCACCATTCTGCGATATCTTTAATATTGAAGTACCAATGGTTTGCGATAATCTACTAAAATCTTGCTCTCGTGCAGGACCACCATTGTGATACGATGAAAATCCAACATCCATCTTGAATCGTCGTTAGAATGCTATATTAAATCATACAAATTTAATTTATATTTTACACGCGCGTGCAAATACTTTTATAAACAATTAATATCTATTTTTTAATGCGTCAAAATAAAGAGATTGTGCGACTGCGCGGCACTTTGCGACAAGTTTCACAAATTTCTCCAATTTCTTACGAACAATTTTAAGTAGAAACTAACCAATTATTGCGAACGTGACAGTAACAATCCTTACCACTTTTACGATAAAAAAGCGTTAACGACAACACCGTCGACAAAATTCGTGCTAAATACGTCTTACACTGACACTTGGGTGTCAAACATGGCAGGGAATGTATTATCTTATAGTGTAATCCCACTCCTCCGATATCATTAACACTTTTGTCAATCACGGAATACAAACTCTATACACAGACTGCGTCAGTGTATACAATCGAGTAAAGCCTGCATCAGACTATACAACTTGTTGCAGCAATTCGCAAGCGATCTAGTGAATTACTAGAAAGACTGTTAATTCATTGGTCAAGTTTTACGAAATGTCTTATGCTTACAGCTATGAATTTATGTGATATAGCCTTTAGCAGTCTTGTTATAGTACGCCTGAGAAAATTCCTATTGCTCTGGTTATATCGTGACATTTTTCATTCATGTAAAGTTGGCGACAGAGCCAGCAATTTTCTGATGCAATCCTCTCGGAGCGGCGTGGGCTAAAGTGAAAGCAGAATTACTTTACTAAAATTTTCCGCATGTTTTATGTCGCTTAAGTTTGTGAAAAGCAAAGTTTTCTTCATTCAAGACGTGGACGTTCTACAATCAGAAAAATGACGGAAGAAGATTCGGTACGTAAATTGTAGCGAATCACTCAAATTAAACATATATGATTGACATACTTTGCTGCTTTACTTAATTTTTTTTTGTGCCACAATTTTACGTTTCTGTTCTTTTTCATTGTGTACAAAAGATTCTGTCTCTTTCAGCGAGCAAACATATTTTAAGAGCTAAAAAAGATATTGTGAATTCCAACCTCAAAAACTACTCCGAAAATTTTGCTAGACTCGAGTTGCCGCTAAAGAAACTTTTACAGAAAAAGAAAATAAATCGTTACATTTTTATATATTATTATTATTAATATTAATTTTTTATTATACGTATATTTATGTATAATATCAGAACAATTAACATTAACGATAAAAATTGAGAATGAGAGGTAACATCTTTTAATTCACTTTGTGAACAATTTTTAGGTATTTGATCCAACCCTAAAGAAAAAGAAAAAAAAGAAGAAGACTACCTTTGACATTGATGCTGCTTTTAATGAAGGAGGCAGTAGTGGTGATGCAGCTGAGAATGTTGTTGACAAAGAAAATCAAGAGCCTGAATCAATAGTCATCGAAGATGAAGAGGCACTTGATTTGGAAAGTTTTGGGAAAAAGAAAAGAAGAAAAAGAAGGCATTTAACTTAGATGAACTAGAAGCCACTTTACCTGATATCAAGAAGGAGGTAAAAACATTTTTAAAAGTTTTGTATTTTTGTATTGGATACATTTAACTTACTTCAATTCTCTACAATCAGATATTAATCAATTTTAATTATTATTTCTTAATGAAATAAATATTTTGATAATTTTGAAACAATAACTATTTTAGGGATATATTGTGTGTGTAGAAGTACAATTTAATTCAATTTTGTTATTTTGTTTTCTAAAGAACTTTTGTTTTAGAAATCTGGTAATTTTTTATTGAGTAATGAGCAGTGAAATCGAAGAAGGTTGCATTTTGAATTTGCTAAATGTTTGTTACTTATCAAACAGGAACCTGTCGAGCAACAAATTGAGGAAATTGTTGTGGATGATGACTTTGACTTAGATATGGATTTCTCAAAGACAAAAAAGAAGAAAAAAAAGAAGAAGGATCTTGATGAATTAGTGGCTGAAGAAGAACGCAAAGAAATTGAAGACAAGGAAAATGGTATGTGCCATAAGAAATGACTTGTGTCAACATCTTTTTGCATCTAGTTGTTTATGTTATTCATTATTTGTTAACATGCTGCACTGAATCTGAGCGAAGTGCAGAGTATGGTAAGACATGCTTGGTGTTTTCTAATTATATTGATCCTGCACTTGATTTTCTTTTGATTATTCTTGCATTACAATATTTTAACGACAAAAATGATATTTGGATACATTTTATAATTTTGTAGTTTAAAATGCAATTTTATTTGAATACAAGAGCACATTACAATTGTGCACTTATATCCAGACACATGCGTAACAACAAATGTTATACATATAAGCATTTTGGGACATAAAAAATTTTTCCAACATATAAGGTTCCAGGAATGTATATGTGCGAGTGCATATGTGTGTGCTTACGTGCAGTGTGTATGTTTCTATGATTAATATTTGTGATTAAAAATACTTTTGCAGTACTTTTCACAAATCATTGAATAGTATAAAAACATAAAATCTTTAGATGAAAAAAATTATAAAAATTATAATAAATAATAGAAGCTGCTATTACTGTGATACAATAATAGGAATTTTCTGCGCAAATGTGGAGAGTTTTTCATAATAATCTAGACGATATAACATTTTTAGATCGGTTTTTAGTATCTATATTTTGAAGAAAGAATATGATATTTGGATGTTTCTATACATTTTATAAACATATATCTCTATACCTCTATGTGCAATATACATGTACACATGAAATCACACTACATATTATATGTTTATTAATTAAACACTAAGCTGTTACTTTTATAATACATATTATGAGAGACATTTTGCCCTCACTTGCATTTACCACGTTGCATTGCAATATTCTCACTTAAGAATCAATAGCTTAGTTTGATAGTTATTTTTGTCGATCAATTAATATAAATGAAAAATTGTTTGTTCTTTCCTTAGTGGAGGAACCGAGTTTGTGGGTGGGCTCGGATAGAGACTATACGTATGATGAGTTATTAGTTAGAGTGTTTAACATTATGCGAGAGAAGAATCCTGACATGGTAGCTGGTAAGAAACAAAAGTTTGTCATGCGTCCACCACAAGTGGTACGCATTGGAACGAAGAAAACGTCTTTCGCCAACTTCACCGAGGTACGAAAAATGTCTCAGTTGCAGTAAAGATGCAGTAAAAAGTAGGAGTTTCTGTCAAAAATTCACTCAAGATGATTTTGAAGTGATTACTTGAGTACCTCAACATAAAAAATATTAATATTTTTTACATGCATACGAGATATAAGATTAAGGAATATCGTAAATTTTTGTTTTATTAATATTTTTCCTTCGTAGATTTGTAAAACGTTGCATAGACAGCCGAAACATTTACTGGACTTTTTGTTGGCCGAGTTGGGTACAAGTGGCTCGGTCGATGGTAATAGTCAGTTGATTATCAAAGGTCGTTTTCAACAGAAGCAAATAGAAAATGTTCTTAGGAGATATATCAAGGAGTATGTTACATGTCACACGTGTCGCTCACCAGATACGATTCTTCAAAAGGACACTCGGCTTTTCTTCTTGCAATGTGAGACATGTGGTTCGAGATGTTCTGTTGCTAGCATTAAGTCTGGATTCCAGGTGAGTTATTATTTCTTATAACCAAAGATAATGGCAATATTTTATGTGTGATGCGTATACGTATCGCGTGCGTGCGTGCGGGTGTGTAATAATTTAACGCAATTTATTACAAAATTATATTAAATTATATGCATATCACACATTAAACACAACAATATTTTAAATATTTTTCTACGTTTGTTTCAGGCTGTCACAGGGAAACGCGCTGCTATTCGTGCAAAAACTGCCTAAGCAATTTTTACCTAAGAAAATGCTATTGCAAATAAAATACTATATAAATAAACGATACAAATGATTACATCTCGAATTAATTTAAGTATAGGAGTGTAGATAGCATTAGTTGAAATTGTCAAACTTGATATCAACCTTAATGTAAAGAAAATAAGAATAGCTTGGATCATAAGAGATCCTTAGCTTTCTAATAATCTTGAATATTAAAATTTTCGCGTTCTGTAAATTGTAGGATTTTCAATTTCCAATTCTTGTATATTTTGATTTTAAAGTTTTTGAACTGGAAAGTTCTCTAATCTTTTGAAAATATTTTCGAGGAAAAATTATTACAAAATTTTTGTTCTATTCTAATTTTTTAATTCTTATGAAAATGTCTTGAAATTGTGGCTCGGAGAATAAACGGATTTTTCTTATTCTCAATCTAGATCTTTTTTAAATCATTTATGTAAATTATTGGATCTTATATATGTAAAAACACGTATATAAAATAGAGTTATATAGAATGCAAAATTCTTCATTATAATGAATGCATGTTCAGTCTTCATTATAATTAAACAAACATATGGAAAAAAGTCGAACAACAGGTAAAATAAGCAGTTCAATTTCCTATTCCTATTTTGCGTTAATCAATAAAATAGAATAAACTTTAATATATATATATATACAATATTTTTTATTCATTTATCTATATATTTTATCTACAGAGAACATTGTTTAGATATAAATGAAGAGAGCTTCATTGTTACTAACATTAAATCTAAGCTGTAATTTTTTATATGTTCTCTATTGTATATATCAGATAGGAAATCAGATAGGAACAAGCTTTTGCAAACTCAGTAACAAATTCGTAATATACAACTGCACACCAAAGAAGTCTTTTTTTTTTCTAACTTTCTCAATGATAATAATATTTTATTTCATTGTACTTACTAGGCAATAAACTCTCAAACTTTTATATATCTCTTTGAATTCCTTCAAAGAATTGAATAAAAAATTTTAACAAAAATACATAATATACGCTATAAAAACTGATTAATATGGAAACATCTTTTATTCAAAATATTTAAACCTCTTATATAATCTTACAAAGTAAACTCATCCTGCAATTATAAATTATAAATTATGATTTTGTTAAAAATAATCAAGTTCAACGTCATAATCCAATTTACAGTGAAAAGCCAAGGGCTTGAATCACATTTTCAGTACAATATTTATAACCAATGGATATAAAATCGTATTACAATGCCAATTGTATATTGGTTACATTGATATTATATGTAAATATATATGTATTTTTCTTAATAGAACAATGTTGCTAAAGTGTTTGTAAAATTGGTGTAACATCATAATTGAGTAATTTTAAGAGAGTTAAATAAACTTTATTTATCCATTGCAGAAGATTGTTGTAGCTGAAAAAGAAAAAAATGTAAATATATTTTTTACTACAAACAACTGTTGTTGCACAATACAAATATATCAGAATTGAGCAACGAATTAAATAATCATTTTTTATCTACGATTGCAGTATAGACCAGAAATTTTAATTTCATATAGATCACATTATTATTCTTTTTCATAAAAGGTATAATTAGAAATTCTCAAAAAAATTATAATTGTTTATCAAATAATAATAAACTATAAAATCTCTCCAATCTTAATTTGTATTATTAAACAGTGATGACAAAAATTAATTTATTTCGATATTTAGTGTAAGAGAAAATTTGACATAATCTCTCAATTTTGAGGTCGACATAGTTACAACGAAGGACTAAAAATCTCAAATAACTTACAAAATGCGAATTTCGAATTTTGTAACGTAGAAAATACCAGCGATGATTTTGTAAAAAGGTTGTTTTGCAGTTTGATATTTCCCACGTGTTGCAATAATTGCCATCAGTCTATACCGATTGATAACGTCTCCATGATCCTTGATAATAGCACGTACTGTATTTAAATTTCTAAAAGAAAAGGAAATAATAAATCTGTAGTAACATGAAAAGCGAATTAAAAATGATTTTATTTTAATTACCTGAGTATTAGCATTATACTTTTAGGCATCGATCTCAATATAGCTGTTATTTTATCAAATCGCTCTTGAGTCTTCTTTATCATATACTCATCCAATGTGATGTTGTTCGGACGTGATGTAAAGGAAACTTTATATGGTGCCTGAGATAACATTTCTGCTAATAGTACATAATCTGAAATATTACATATATACATATATAAATGCATTACAGCATTTTGCAAAATTCCAAGTATAAAAATTGATAAATTAATTCCTCTTAGCCTTCTACGTATAAAAATACGTATTAAGATGAAGTCATTCCCCCGAATTAATTGCAAGTATCGACATGTCGTAAACAAATGCCCTGATAAAAATTAATATATTGCAAGTTTTCAGAATTTGACAAAAATTGTAAGATATGGCATATTTTGTACGAATTTATCATATTTTTTTTAGAAATGATTCATAAGAATATAACAAATTTGCGCGCGCGCGTACAGAATATATCATATCTTACAATTTTTGTCCAATTCTGATAACTTCTGACATATTTATTTTTACCAAGGTGTAAATAGCAGTTGCTATATGATATATGTACGCACCTTCCACATTCAAATTACTTGCAAGAGCTTTCAAGGAGCTGTCATCTCTCAAGACCATTGATTCCCAAAAATTGCACAAAATATGTCTTATCTTCTCTGATACGTGTTCGTACAAGCCATGATCTAGTAGTACTATTTGCGCTTTCTTGTCTTTCCCCTTTCTTATGAGAACTGCGCAAATCAACATTGTCTATAATATATGTATATTATGTCATACTTTTGGTTATTAAGACTCCATTAAGTCGCACTTATTGAAAAAAAGAATACATGTGTCTCTTATTTTGATCTACAATGTATCCAAAGTTTATTAAAAAATTGAAAAGGAATACTTAAATATATGTATATTTCCTTATTAGTAATACTGCAGGCTGATACTATTCCTTTTAAAAAATATTATTTTATTTGGGAAATAATACCATTTCCTGGATGTGGATCAGCGTGTACAAACCCTGTGTGAAATATTTGTTCTCCCATTAAAGTAATCAGCTTCTGATCAATATCTGCAAGATTTAAATCTTCAGCCTGGATTCCTTCTATATCGGTTATTTTAATTCCGTCGATCCACTCTGTTGTGAGAATCCTCTAAAAATATAATTATAATTATGATAAAAATATTGAGCAACAAAGGATTCAACTAAAGAATATATATATTGTAGTTTAAGAATCTTTTTACAAACTATCATTTCAAAAAAGATTATTAGATATTCATAATTTTTTGTAAACTCCGATATTTTTCAAGTTTAAAGTGTTGAAAGATTGAATTCTCTAAAGGCAAACAACTATAACAAACAGTCTTGCATGAAACAGTGCCAGAAAATTCAATCTCACAAATTCTATCCTAAGAATTTTTATTGCTTAGATTAAATAAAGAAAAAAGAAAAGAAAAAACAAAGAAAATAACCTTACTACTGAGATTCCAATAAACTTTTGGTATATATGCGTAATTGAATTTCTTCAAGTCTTTAGCACATTGTTCCCCGTTCTTTCCTTCGTTCTCAAAGTCCAGTTCCATACGCAGCGTGTCAATCATTTCCTTATAAATTGAAACAAATTTTGTGTAAAGAAAAAATTTTTACTTGGTACAGAACAAGAACAGTTACGATAAACATATACAATGTTCAGAAATGATTGCAATAAATACATATTGTATGCTTACATCCAGTACCCAATGCAAATCGAATTTTGGATGTATAATAGTAATAGCCTTTAATAAATAAACTATCGCATTCAAATCGGATAGGAATCGATCGTGAAGATCGATATATCGTACTTTGATAGCCACTTTGTTCCCATCAAGAGTAACACCTTTGTATACCTATTCAATATGATTTACAATAAAATTAATAAAACATAGATTTGTATTAAACAACAGATTTTTGTAATAATTTTACAATAGAATGTAATTTAGAAAAGAAACGCTTATATGTATATTTTATTTTTCATACCTGAGCTAAACTAGCAGCCGCGACTGGTTCCGGTTCAATCTCGCGTAACATTTCTTTCGATTTCTTGACAAAATCTTGTACAAATATTTCTTCCATTTCGTCCTTCTCTCGAATCAAGCATTTGTCCTTATAAGTATGCAACAGAATTATTTAAACATATTATTAATTACCATAATAGTCTACCTTTTTCATTGGATTGCGGGCTTAGACTTATGTGGAAAAGGGCATTTCAGTATATGTAGAGTTCAGTAGTGTTATAAATATATTGCAAAGATGTACCTGTAATGTTGACAAACTTTTCGTATATTCTTTCGGTAAAATATTATTCATCGCCGCTAAGCCTTGTCCAAGCTTTATGTAAATTCCGCCGTTCTGCAAGCATCCCTGAACGATTCGATCGGCGGACCTTTGATGAATTTCCGATTCCGTACAACCCATTATAGGGGCAATCAAGTAATCCATAGATATAGTCATACCAATTTTCAACGATCTTGTAAATCTAAGCCAACTTCCTAGAACACTTTTTACAACTCTTTTCTTCCTTGAAGGCAAAAAGGCGTAACTAACGCTCAACAATGTCACTCCTGCGATGGCAAATCAATATTTGTAAGGAAAAGTTATTAATAAAAATATAACTGAATTTTTAAGCAAATTAAGTTTTCTCTATGCTTTTAGATATTAGATTTTTTAAATTTTAGATTCAGAAATTTTTTAATTACATTTTAGAATATAAAACATGACAATTATTTACTTTTCTGTCAATTTCAAACAAAGATAATTTTAACGAAAACTTAACTTGAATTTAATCATCAAGAAATTTAAAACTCATAGTGAGAAATAGTGTGATAAAATAGATATATCATTAAATATACAAATTTCAATAAATATGTATATATTTACCTGTACCAACATATTTGAAGCGTTTGGAAAATAACAGACGAGTTGCAAAATAATTGCTGCTATTCACACAGCCAAGCAATCTTGTTCGTAACATTATCATGAATTGATCAGTCGTCTTCTCAGCAAATTCATTACATTATCCGGCTCTCGTATATTTATTGGACGTCTTATGCACCTGATGACTATATACATAAAAATACATATATAAAATGTGGCAGAAAAAATTATCCATTATTATTTTATTAAATTATTATTCTATTAAAACAAATTATAAAGTAATAAAGTTTATGAGACAATGTTACCGTCATTGTAACAGCATTATTAGAATTTTAAGATTTGTCGGGTTGCTCTTCGTAAAACAAATAGATTACTCTTGTTATGCCGATTAAAATAATCATATTTTTTTGCATATAAGTGCACTAATGTGCTATTGGATTTTAAATAAAGTTACACATTTCGTTACATTAAGTGTAATTATAGATTTTATATAGAACCGAGCAATATTAAGATAAAATGTTATGCATAATATTTTCTCCAAATGCTTTACTCGATTGTCACATAAGAATGCAAAGATAAATAGCTGTCGGATTGTAAAGAACAACTCACGCGCATGTTAGCAACATGATAAGGGAAAAAGTGTCAATAATCTCCAACGAGATAGCAACCACTGTGATTGCTGACATAAGTTAGTAGCTACATAGCACGTGAACAGCCGGTTCGGAATTGCGTGACCGTTGCGGAATAGTGACCGTGAACTGATCACATCATTGGCAGCGTTTACAACGCTGATAAGTTGTATATAGTTACCCAATTATTCATTAACAAAATGCTGAAATTCCGGAAATTATTTCCACAATCTTGCTCGATTATAGGAATGGTGCACGTGGAAGCGCTGCCTGGTATAGCAAATTCGCGTCTGTCTTTACTGCAAGTGATATCTGTGAATCATATTAAAGTAAAAAAGTTCAATTAACAACGATCTAATCGGCAAATCTGTTTTGGATTTTTTCTCTTTTTTATTATATTGTAAATAAATCTTTTTAAAAATTTATGAAAGAAATATGTGTCTCTGTTTAGGTACACCAAAATATGAAGGCTGCGTCGAAAAGATTGTAAAAAATGCAATAAAAGAAGCGTTAATATATGCTGAATGTTGCGTGGTAAATAGTTTATACATATATATTAATACATTAATAAAATATATATTAATTTATAAAGTCAATGACGGAATGAGAATCCAAATCTGATATTTTTAAAGATTTGAAATTAAAAATTATTTAGATAAAAAGATAATAAATTCTGGCGCAACTTCTCTTCAACAAAGATATACCAATCACTTCTAAATAGCAACAAATTGTAAACACAAAATTTGTAATTTTATATTTTGATTTCTGAATACGTTCTTGTACTAATATGTGCATTAATTCAAATATTCCGCAAACTTTTCAGGATGGTATTTTGCTTGAAAATATGCATGATATCCCTTACGTTAAGCAACGGGACACGTCGATGGAGATTACAGCTATGATGACTAGAATTTGCGCAGAAATTAGGAAAATCACACCACAAAATATTGCATGCGGCGTACAGGTATTTAAAATTTATCAAGTTATTTCATTATAATTCTTCTTAATCTCGTATGAATTTGTTTGATCCAGTTTGTTGTTTTATTAATGATGTTAAGTTTGAAAGATTAACCAATACTTTGATTCATCACTTGTCAATTGATTATTATTAAATTTCTTAATCGATTCAATATTATTGTTCAATGTAGATACTCGCAGGATGCAACAAAGAAGCGATCGCGGTTGCCAAAGCTGCAGGATTGCAGTTTATCAGAGCCGAAGGGTTCATCTTCTCTCATGTGGCTGATGAAGGTTTGATTGACGCAAGCGCTGGAACTTTATTGAGATATAGAAGACAAATTGACGCGAATGACGTACTCATTTTTGCTGATGTTAAAAAAAAACACAGGTAAGATTCCGAGTTAGAGCTTAAGCTTATTTCACTCTTGAGCGTTTTATCGACGAGGAATTTACATGTTGCCCGAAAAGTGGCAAAAAATCGTGGAAAACGAGGAAAAATATTTCGATTAAAAGATAAAATATTCAGATTTTCGTTGATGGTTGAGGAAATTTGGCAAAAGAATTCGAAATAGCTCAGCTAATAGAAAACATTTTAAGAATCGGATTACATATCATTGATACATATTTTGTACATGTATGTATAATATTTTAATTTTTCAATTCCACTTAAAAAAAACACTATTTTTATAGTGCGCACGCGATCACTTCCGACGTGAGCTTGTTGCAGACGGTAAAAGCTGCAGAATTTTTTCTAGCGGACGGCGTTATACTAACGGGCAATGCAACTGGCGAAGAAGTAAACGTAAAGGATCTTGGAGGTACGTCAGGAATAACTTGATAATTTTCATATTTATGAAAAGTGTATAAAATAAAATTCAGTAAGATGTCTTTCATAGATTATTATTTCTAATAGCAAATACAAGTGTTTCTTCGCATAAAGTTCGATATTGAGAATTACGTATTTAATGTTACTTGTCGAAATAAAATATTTTTATCATAGCTCATTTTCAGTGACTTTATAAACAATTTTATATTATAAATCATTCATCGTACTTTTGTTAAAAATCAATATCCAAAGATAAAATAAAAATAGAGCATTTACATAGCATTTTAATTGAAAAAAATTAACATTTAAATCTCGGAAACGATTCTATCTACAATAAAAATTGATGATCTTATGATGGGTCTTTTTCTATACAACCTTTCTTTGAGAAATTTTTTGTAATTCTTAATTTTCAAGATATCGAAGATACTAATATTATATTTTCGAAAATAAAACAAATATTAAAGATGAAATAATATTTCAGTATCCAGTGCTACATAAAATTTTGACATAAAAACTTTTACACATAAATTTTACAAATTACTGAAAAATTAGCACAATTTCATAAACAAATATACATAAAAACAACGCAACACAAAACATTAAGTACATAAATCTTCGACTCTACTTCACTAGCTATGTTTGTATCGATTTGTATCATTGCAGGAAAGCACTTTTATCTCGACAAGTGTCACACTGTATCAATTGTATTCCTTGCTAAAAAGTATTTATATAGATCGAATTTTGTGTAGCAAACAATAAGTTTGAAATAAATTCATAAATCGTGATGATGAGAAGCAAGGGTTGAATTTGAGTGAAACAGAGCGTGAAGCAGATGTCATATTATCACGTGTATATCTTACAGAAGTGCGGAAGCACATCGCAGCGAGGCTGCCCGTGTTAATTGGTTCGGGCGTGACGTTGGACAACGTGGACAATTACGTGGATGCGGCTGATGCATTGATTGTAGGATCGCACTTGAAGACGGCCGGCCGATGGGAGAACGCGCTCGATCCAGAAAGAGTTCGAGCCCTTGTCGGATATTTGAAAACTCGACGGCAATGAGACGGTTATGTTATGATTGTAGCGAGCGAGTGAGAGAGTTGAGAGAGCTATCTACCAGCCGGAGCAACAGCTACCTACGAGGAACTGTTCGACCAGCTGAGCGAATTCCCATCTTCGCAATCAACTCTACCGTCAGAGCTGAGTAACTGCGCATTCGCGAAGCGGTGCCTCGAGATTCGCACACTGTGAAGTCGCATCAAGTATAAAAACAATATCATTCTAAAAGAAAATTATTTATCAATCGCGAGAATTATTGAGGAAATTGTACAAACTTTCCACAACAATTTCTGTATTAATTGTTAAGAGTTACGATTAAGCATCCTACCATTGTCCTTTCTCCTATACTACATTCGCCTATACTACACCGCTTTTCTGCTTCAAGGGGAATTTTCCTTCCACCTCATTCCACTTTCCTCTACATATATTTCAAGATCCCCTCTTCGCTACTCCTCATACAATCAACTCACTCGCTTTCGCCTCACTCCTTCTCGTGCCTCTCTTTTTCTCTCAAACCCCTCACTATGACTTCTCCCCTCTCGTCTCACCACCACGTTCACTACGAATCTCTCCCCTTCCGTTTCACCATCCTTGTCGCCAACTGCTTTTCACCCCCGCATCGCCCTCGTCCTCGGGCTTTACGGGTCGCCCAGCCAGCCAGCCAGCCAACAGTCGAAATCAGCTGACGGCGAGCAGTTGTTACCACGGCTCCTCAAACACAAGACAAGTGAGTACATCTTCGCGAATTTTTCCGACCGTCCTCGACAGTCCTCGACCGTCCTTTGTGTTTTCCCGCTTTCCCTTCTTACAGTGTTAAACTTTGCATTTTTCTCTTCATGTTGTAGCGCGTCGTTGAAGAAAAGACGCTGCGACATAACTGATAAAGACGTCAATGACGATAGATTTTTTTCTGGTTATTTTATTATATAATCATTCACATTTGTCATAATTTTGGAAATGAGTTACGAGACGGATGACATGTTAAAGAAATTCGGATAAGAAGAAAAACTACACCTGTTAACTGCAAAACGAGTGATGATTTTTTGTGGTTGCATTGTTACGTTTTACTTGTGTCAAAGCTGCGTTGTGATACACGGATGTGCAGAAAAGTGAGGGAAATTCGGATGAGAAAGGAAAATGAGGTGATTCTGCGCAAGAAGGTAAAGCGAAACTGACTGAGATAGTCTGACGAAGAATTTGTTTACCTTCTTTATCGCGTAGCGAGCTATTTTACGACGATCAATATGTGTGCGTGCGTACGTACGTGCGCGAGCTCGCGCGCGCGCGTGCGCGCGTGTGGGTGTGTGACGAGTGCGCGCGCGCGTAATGTGTGTAGTGTATGATGGAATTAAGGAAATTTTAGAAACAGAAGAGGGAAATGATGGATTTAGAGCATCGGACGTAAGGAAGGCTGTCACAAAAACGTTTTCGTAAATTTTTGTAAAATTATTATTTTCTTAATGGAATTGTTTATACTCTGATTTTACAAGAAAACATGACAAACATTGGAAATTAGAACAATAATTTTGCAGTCTCGACGAAATTTATTTATCAAAATTTGCTAAAGAAATACGAAGAACGTTGGAAAAAGACATCAATCGAAACAAATTATACAAGACTATTTATCTAATTCTTAGATTTTCTTATTGTTATCATGCAAAATATTTTTATAACTTTATAAAATTTATCTACAAAATTTTGAACAAAGAACGAACAGGAAAAATGTAGAAAACAAAACAACTTTGATTTCGAAACTCAAATTGCGCTTTGTAAATTGATTTAATTGCTGCATTTATGGTAGGTATTTTTCTTTGTAAAAGAGAAATTTTTATATTAAACATTTCAAACAATTGAAAACACAAACGAATTAAAAGGACACCAGTACAATAGAAATAGCAATTTCAGCAATTTCAGCTGGAATTCGTCAATTACACATTCAGTTGCTTGTTATTGCGCAATTTATTTATTATAATTAAAGAGATTCTTGTGTTAATTGTGTATTTGCCTGGACGGCCTAACGTACTATACAAAATATATCTCGAGAATCGCGAACAAATTTAGTTACGCTTTAACTTCTCGGATTCTAGCGTTAGCCGAGTGCTTAGTGCCCAGAATGATGTAAGTCATTTAACCAATTGTGGAATAAGCCAGAATGATGTCATGGCAAAAATAAATTATACAAACTTCTCTTTAATTCTTTCGTCTGTGAAAATTACTCAAACATGGCTATTAATCAGTTAGTAATTATTGTTGATAAAACGCCCCGATTTGACATATTTATACAAAATGTTCCACTGTCATATTAATTATGACATTTTTTTGACGAGTTACATTGTAGAACCTGTTTATATTTATTGAAAATCTAATTTTATTTATTATTTAGTAAATCGTTACTTGTTACATTTTTAAAATGTTTTATATTAGAAAAATTATAAAAGGAAGGAACAGGGAAAAGAAAAGAACAGAAGAAGATGAAATCAGAACAAAGAGAAGGGAAGAAAGAGAAAAGAGAAGAGAGAAAAAGATGAGTAGAAAAGCGAGGAAATGGATAGAGAAATTGTAAATGTACGTTTCAATTGGCTATTTGTGATATGTAGTTGGCGCATAATTATGCATCGAAAAAAAAATTATTTGCTAAGGGAGGATTGGCTGTCTTCCAGAGAAAAGCAAATTGAAGATCAAGGTTGCCATAATCGCCTGCCCACGAAAACATGTCGAGATTACATAGCGATGACGGAAAGAGCAGGGTCTCAGATAAAGAGAGTTAAATAAAAATACATTGATTCAAAAATCCATTTTAAAATCTAGTAGTCTCGGTATCTAAAAATACCATCCGAGCGGACTAAATAGTGCAGCAGTCGGATTTTTAAAGTAGTATTTAAAGTTGACCGCTAAATGTTGAGAAACAGTTTCTATATTATTATATTGTATTGTATAGAGTACATATTGTAAAATTATATCTGTATTTTAAAGCACATCTAAAGGTACCCTTTACTTTATGCGATGTACAATATAAATATACATGTACATATACATATATTCAATACTGGTTCAATACTAAAATACTTAATAAAAACTATTTGATATTTAATCTCTAATTTATTTATTCTTACAGCTCGTTAATTTTACATGTTGCAGGTGTCGAGCAGATCAGCATGTTGGGTAACTTTGTCGGTTATTTGTTTGGAAATAGTTACTCTGGCACGCAGGAGTCGCTCGAAGAGGATCCTCGAACTCGCGGGATAATGCGGAGATTCAGGCAAGTGGCGGTTGAGGACGATGAATGGATCCTCATTGATCGAACTGGTACATAATTTACCGTTTTTTTCTGTACTATATTTTATTTGAAATTATTTCATAGTTTATACAAAAGAGATCAGCAAGATCAAACTTTAAATATAATTTGTTTTATACGAGTTTAAATACAGTGTACAAGAAATAATTATGAACGACAAAGAGATAATTACGATGTGTTTTTCTATTATTGTTTTGTCATTAATCTTCATTGCGTGTTTATTTAACTTTTTTACGGATTTGCCATGCTGATAGTGTTATTTACCATAAATATTATCAACTTCAAGACGATTATTTCGAATATTATTATTGACTTTTTCAATCTTATTTCTTTAACCATACTTTCCTTTTTTATTTTTATATTTCTTCACATTATTTTCATTATTTCACTTGATTACGCTGACGCGTACACCTTCCCTTTGTTCCAGTTGAGGGTACACCGGAGGAGCCGTGGTATGAAATGCCACCGGCAGTGTTCACACAAGAAGGTCCCATAAAAGTGGCAACCTCACCCATGGAAAATCTGCTGATTGAACATCCTAGTATGTCCGTTTACTCCGTCGTGTCGGGAACGACATCTCCTGTTGTCGCTCCGGATACTCCACCTCCCTCGCCGGACGGATGGACGGAGGACCAAAAGAAAGTCGATATCGTTCACGATGTCTCCCGAAACGCCAATGTTCTCCAAAATGTCCCCCCGGTACAGCCAGCTAATCTCTCGTCCTCCATGCTGTGCACCGTGTCCACATGTCCACTCTTAAACTGCAATCCGGATCAAAATAATATCGACGAATTGTCGCGCAGAGTTGTCGAAGAATTGCAAGCCATCCACAATGTAAAACTACCTGCATTCGATAGCAATAATAACAGAGCCAAGATTGGAAATCAGCTCCGATCCGCTCAGGAGCGAGCTCAAGAGGTAATGTCAAAATTTCAAAATCTTCGAGAATATGTTAGTATTGTAAAGTAGAATCGAATCTAGGAACTCGAAAAAAGAAGGGGGGGGGAGAGAGAGAGAAATTTGTATTATATGATATCATCGTAACTCTAAAAAGAAGGGGGAGAAAGCAAGAGTAGTTTATTGTTCTTATAGAATATTGTAATAGTTAAAAAAGAAAATATCGATTATAACTATTAAAAACGCATATTTTTTTTAAATATTTGATCTTTGGAAGAAGAATTCTGTCTCCGTAGATTCGCGCCTAAATTAAAAAAAGAGATCCAAATTATAGAACTGTCATTAAAAAAGTCTTTATTAACTCTTGATTCATTGTTCTTTGGTATATTTATTTTTAGAATTCTCAAAAAACTTTTAAAAACGTCTTTTTTTAATTGCATAGGTGCTGAAGAAGCGCTCCACTCAATGTTTGAAGAGAGCTCGCCTGGAAAAGAACAACAAAGTGCGCCAGACAAAAGGCAAACGACTTCGTCGTCAGGATCGTTTACGCGTTTGTCATAGCGGCGCTAACAACAACAGGAAATGCTAGTCACTCGATCTCAGGCCAAATTGTACTTAAACTTCTTCTTAAACGCGATGACCAACGTTATGACAAATAGCTACTCGGTGAAATTTCGTTGCAATGACGAAAGAGACACCATATTTGCAAGATTATACAAAGTATAGTCTTAGAGATTCTCAAGTGAAGGTCTGATCATTGTTGGATTTCAGATCGAATATTATGGCAATGCTTAAACTTAACTATTGCAATAATCGTCACTAATGTGCCTCGATATATTCTACAAAAAACTGTTTATGCATAGTTTATAATGAAAGACGGATCTATCGGTACGCTAATGAAGCTTAAACTTTAGAGCCCCAGCATGCCAAGAACCCTACGATATACAAATATACATGTATTAACACATATTTTGAACTGTTATATTTATAACTGTATCGTGTGTGTGAATATAAAATATTAGTTTTAGAAATATTTAAAATTCAATAAATATTTATAAATTAATTTTTTAAGAAGGGGCTCTTTCTCCAATAATTATTATGTTTAGCCACCTAAAAATGTAGATTTATCACTAATTCAACCGTACCAAAGATTTTTCAAAATTGTGCTATATTCAGTCGAATATTTTAAGCTAGACCTATCGGTAGGAAATTGAAAGGTCAGATTCTCACTTGAGGATACTTAAATGATCCTTGCTTCGCAATAAAAATCAACTTTATCATTGCTTTCTAATCGGTCCATTATTACGTTTTACTCACAGATCAAACGACGAACCATTTAAAATTTAAAATCAACATGTATATTTGCTATATAAATAATTATTAGTTTCGATTATACTTTGCTTTTTTATTTTAATAAAAGAAATAGACGTGACAGAAAAAGAATTAGAATTATAAGAAAAATGTGACTTACAACATATATATTGACATATATTTTATATATATATATATATATATATATAATATATATACAATAATTTTAGGCCAATATTCATAGTCGTATATATTATTTTCACTTTTTAGTTAAGAGTATAATTAATTATAGGTTTGTATTTATAAGCTGTTGTAGAAGTTATTTAAATTAATACTTTACAAACATATGTTTGACGAATTTTTATTTAAAAAATCTATTATTATTTTAAAATTCATAGACTGTGAATAATTTTTGCTTCTTTTATAAAAATTTATAATTGATGAATCTTTAATTAGATATTAATTTAGAAAATCAGTGATTCGCCATGTAATAAGGTCTTGATTATAATTAATGAGAGCTTTTCTGTCAAACGGTTTGGCATTGTTTGTTAATCTCACGTTATTTAAAACTGTTAATTGCAAATAATTGTTATTTAAAAATTCCCAATTATTATATAAAATAGTGCAGAGAAAGATAAAATAGAAGATACTGATATAAAAATTTATTACAAACAATATTGATCACTATGTGTTTAAAAACGTTATAGCAGAAGAGAACGACAATATATAAAATAGTAATATATTAGAAAAGTTTCAAATACACGTTTTGTTCTTAATTTTTATGCTTATATTGTCATCTTCCTTTTCGTTTTCACTTATATCACAATAATTTTATAATAGATTTTTCGATATATGTATATAAAATATATATTTATCTTTTAAATAATTAATGATTAAATCTATCGTTTATAAATTTGAGATTGACAAGTGACTTGTGAACAGAATGTTTATGAATCACATAAATTTCACATTTTATGAATCAAAAATTATTCGACCAAGATTATGAGTTCTTGTAAGAATTTAGTAGGTACAGATTGACCGATAACCAGAGATTTGAAACTACTGACTATTCTTGAGTAATGATCATTTATAAATTCCAGTCTTAATTTGCTCGTTTTATTATTGTACTGTTTATTCCGTTATTTTGATACGAAATTTTGCTATAATCCAATCATGCATGAATAGATTAGATGGAGTTCGTTGCAATGAAATTTTACTCGTAACTGCGTTCTTATTTGCCCGAGTACGTGAGGAAGTGCGTGTACATTTGGTGATTAGGATTAGCTATTATATATAAAAATCGAGCGACGTGTAACCCTTTCTTTTAAAAAATCATAGATATTGTAACAAAAAATGTTTGCTGTTATAAAGTTGTAAAATGTCTCTTTTTATTAAGTTTCTCACATTGAACGTTTTTAATTTTAATATAATTCCTATTTTAATGCACTTCAAATGCATAATTTCTACTTTAATCATCAAACTGAAAGAAATGTAATTCCGTCTCGAAAGGGTTAACAGCGTCATCGAGCAAGCAAGTCAAAAGGGCAAAATATATGACAAGGACGTATATATAATATTAGTACTATTAAATATACTTTTGCTTCGCGTTTAATTTTATTGAATTGTAATTATTTATTTAATACAATGGGATAGTGTGCATAATATATATGTATGCGAACCAAATCACAGATGGCACGTTCAAAATTTTGAAAATTATTTTGTCTTGTTCTTGTACTAAAATTACTATGTGTTGTTTTCGCAATGTCTGTCATTGGTTCTGAGCAGAAACATTATTGTTAGATCTATCATTAAAATGTTATATAATTCTCTATATAATCCGTGTATGAATTGGATCATGAATCCACGGAATCTCAAATTCGCATTACCTGTTTTAATTTATTTTATCTATTTTATTTATAAGCTAACCGCATTAAGCTATTATATAACTCCACAAATAATTGAACTCTTAAATTCTGCGATATTTGATTTATTCTCAAAAAGGATTACATTTTCGTAAATCATTATATCCTCCTAGATTTTTGGATCTGTACAATACACTTGGATTATCAGATTCTTTAAATGGATCTATAGTTTATATTTCCATAGATATTTCTTTCAACAGTTTTCAACATCTTGAGTGTTATACATATCTGGATTTTGAGTCCTTAGGATTGATGTACTATGAAAAATTTATCCCCACATATTACATCATTTTATAGTTGCCTACTATTGACATTACATTGACACAGTTTCATTGACATATTCAAAATAAAGGATTTCTCCCATTTTGAACAAATTTTATTAAATTATTTATTTCTTTTTTATGTATTTTTTATTATTTATAATAAATGACTTTCAAGAATTGAGTATTTTTTAAATAAATTTTTATGGCCGTTGCATTTGTTAGTAACAATTTATTGTATCAATATTCGATATATCTGCATTTAGTAATCAATTTTTCAAAATTAAAATAAATAATTTTTAAGAAATATACGCATGCATACTTTTCACAACTTATATTAAGTACTTTTTTAATTCAATGCATTGGAGATACATACTATATATTTATATACTATCTGAAAAGTAACGGAAATAATTTGTTTCCTTTAGTATTTTGTGTAAGCACTATTGATAATTAATGACGTTTTGAAGCTTTACGTTTACTTCAACAGATATCAATATTTCATGAACATCGAACGTATAAATTATAGCGATCGAAGTAATAATATATTTTCAGATATCAAATTTTATTTTAAACTTGTTAAAATTGTTTAAAGATTCCTTCACGATAAGTTTTGTATCTAAGCGTGTCGAAGTTTTCCAAAACTATATTCAATTCCTCGTCAATGCGCCAAAATAGAGGAAGCGTCGGAGACGCTTTGTGAAGACATCCTAATACGCGCTTCCAGTGCCTCATCGATCCCACAGAAGACAAAAAAAGATAATCTCGTTAATACGTACACAGGAAACGGAGGTGAGTGTTAAAGGCATCCTGTTTTGCTATATGAAGGGACGCCTTTCTCTTTTCGGAGGTGAGATAATTGTAATTGTAGTCGTCATTTTCTTTAAAAAGGCAGGAGAAAGGTCTTTAGATTACGCGACGATTCACGCGAAAGGATACTACGTGAAAAGTGCGGTGCTGCAACTGGAATGGTCCGAGGTGCCAATTTGAAAAACTCGCCGTTGGTGCCTTTGGTGAGTGGTCTGTTTTTTCGAAAATTATGATATAGGTGCGCCATTTTTTGGCACCACTCAATGATACCGGAATACAGACGCGGCTTGCACGCAACAATTGAGAACTTGCATCATGTGATGCGCAGAGCCGTTCTACGCCGGATCTTCTGCGCGTTATATGCTGCGCAAAGTGGCTCTGCGCATCATATGATGCGGGTTCTCAATTGTTGCGTGTGAATTGCGTCTGCATTATGGTATCACTGGCGCCATTATAGTTTGTTATTCTGTCTCGGTTCGGAACGTGGAGCGCAAACATTTATCATGATTTATCATGAGTTTTATTTGTCTTCAGTGCGTATCAAATACAAATTTTGGCCTAGAATACCGATAAAAGTAATTGCTCGAACATATTTACCCTGAATCTTCACGATTAGCAACGTTTCGACGATCACGACGATGTACTGTGCAACTGGTATTTACCGTGTTGTGAAAGTATATCGCAATAAGTACAAATTTCAATATTGTAGCTACGCGGAAATGGTCCTTACGTCCATTTAAGAGGATCAAAAAAACCAAAACATTCGTTACTCGCCTCGCTTGATCTTAATACGTGGACAATATTGTGACTGCCAAGGTAAGTAATTATCGTTTGTCTCGCTCGTTCTCAATGTACGGTGCAAAATTGATAAAATATATAAGATAATAACGAACCATTACAATTATGTGCATGAACGTGTTATGGGTATCTTTCGTATATCATAACGTGATGCGAGATGGTTAACTTGAACTTGATCCACAATTCGATTATCGTATCATCAAAAGCACCAATTTTTTTGTTCAGTGGTTAAATAATTATGCATCTCGACTCATTAGCTGCAAAATAGTGTAACATTATTACTGAGAATAAATATTAATTGAGAATAAGTTTTAAAAATAGAGGTATCTGATTATATGTATAAATCCGTACAGCATACTCGACTATTCGGGTATTGAAAATACTTCAGATAATTTTGGATAAAAAGTCAAACTATCAAAATTGCCTTAGAAAAAGGCAATGATTTGCGTTATTGCAGAAAAACATTTATCTTTTAAATTTTGTATATTGAAAACTTACATGATTCAGTTTGGATTTCTTTCGGATTTGATTCTGCAGTTGCATGATCATTAATTACTCTTTTCAACTTTTCGAGTTCATCTTTCTTTACTGCAACAAAAATTCAGAATTGTAAAAATGTTATAATGTTCTATTGTATTTTAGTAAAAATAAACAAAAGCACAATTTTTTAAGTAATAGATACATAGTATATTTGAAAAAAAAATGAGCTTGACAGTATCATTTCACTAATCGTGTAAATATTGTTCATTTTGTGGCTTGGATGACTTGAATTGTAGCGAGTTTCTTTTATCGAAACTTTAACTTTTGAAAATAAAAGTAGTCCTAAGAAGCCACACAAATTAAATGAATATGACGGACAGTCTATTATTGCTATTTATTTTTTGTGTCAAAAACTTTCACATAAGTGCAGTACTCTGTTAATAAATATGCATACAATCCAGGATCGATTTTTCTATTTGTTCAAATTATGTCAAATGTTGCAAATCGTAAATTGTAGAGACAAAGCTTCAAAACGCTTCACTAATTATCAGTAGGTGATGTTTACACAAAAAATTAAAAAAAAAATTAATCTCGTTATTTTTCAAACATACTATGTATTTATATTTATTTCATGAAAAAAATTAATACTCACAAACAAATCTAGCAATTGCAAACTTATCATCTTTGATGGATTTCTTAATTTCTTTTATAATTTTATTTAAGCGGTTTTCTATAATTATCATTTCATCAAGTCCCATATTTTCCAATAAATTGAAATCTTCCCAATAATGTTTTATACAGCGCTTTTGAAAAGCTTCATGAAACTTTTCTAACATCTGCAAATATAGTTGTTATTTTATTATTATTTTAACAAAAAAAATTTTGAATTTTAGTGACTTATTACCGTAAAAAATAAAAAAGTCGATGACACTTTGTTGGAACCTTCAAATATCTGCAATTCGTGCAAGCATAATGTTTCTATATAATAGCTTGCAATATTTTTCATGCAATCTTCAGTATCTCTTAATTTCTGAAAATATGTAATTAATAATGATATATAATATGTAGAATAAATAAATAAATTTATTTTATATCAAATAAAGTAGTATGTATATGCGCGCATACATGCACTTTATGCAAAATATGCATTTTTAAATAAATTCAAATTTTGAGATATATATATAAATTAGAGTTCACTTATTACACGTTAAGTTTTTATAATTAAAAATTTTTTGGGTAAAAAATATATTTTTTAAAAATAACAAAAAATTATTGCAATAATAAAAATGAAAAATTAGCCATTAAGATTAAATATTATTATACAAAAAATAATGTAATGTTTAGATGTTAAAAAAATAATGTTAGTTTAGATGTTACTTCATTATGCATTATACCTTTAAATGGCGTATTACGGGCTTAGCACGTCCATATTTAGAAAGAATATCTTTTTCATAATCATAAAAACACAACCGCCAATATCTATGTCGTGCGTCGGGGAATTTACCCTTGTTATTATTCAAAGGTTTTGGTACTGCAGACCAACATTTATTATTATCTTGGGATTTATTATTAGACTGCAAAACAGGGAGCAATAGCAGATTAGTAGCGATATGTGTGATTTAAATTATTTACGCTAGATATTATTAATTAATCTTATATTCTACGCACTCCCTGCAGGTTTATGTAAGAGTGAGAAAATTTTCCCGAGCATTTCGGTGGCGGATTATGAATTGGATAAACTAAAACGGGGACCAAGTCAATATCGACGAAATCTCCATTTGAAAACCGCACGTTTAAGGTAAAAGCTGGTCCTGATTTTTTCTTCGTTATCTGCAAACACAAAAATAGAATGCAATTTTTGTCTAGGTCTATGCATTGTAACTCTCAAGGGATAATATAAAGCATATGTACATATATTTAAGGAATTACATATATCATTTTAAAAGGTCTAAAATTTTCAATTTTTTACTTTATTACAAAGATTGGAATATAAAATATTTTTTTTTCCATATTAAAATTTTTGCATATTAGAATTTGCAATATTAACGAATCTATAACTGCATTTGCAATACAAAATATCAAATGCTGAATTGGACAATAAAAAAAGATATATTTGGAAAGATAGATTTTTTTAGTGAAAAATTTTCTTCATTATCTTAGAATCTTCAGCAAAGTATTATAAGCCAAACATCAATAATTGATAAAAAAAATTTCTTAATTTTTTAGTACAGCATATTGATATAATTTCTGATATGGCTATATAAAATAGCAGATTTTTATTCGGCTTTTATCGCAGTGTACTAATTGTCATCATGTTGTACTAAACCAGCGCTCGGAATTAGTTGCACATTTCGAGCCGATTTCCGAGACGACGCCTCCTGTTCCCCCACTACCGCCCGGCTGCTGGCGGCCGAGCCGCCGATAGCTCTGGCGCAGGAGCGTTTTATATAAGAAATAAGCTGGGTTGTTGAGGTACCTTTCAGAAAATAGTAATATTTTCTTTATTACATAAATAATGTTTATTTTCATTAATAATTAAATATATATATTATGTATTAATAAAAATAAACATTATTATGTAATGAAGAAAATGTTACGATTTCCTGAAAGATGCCTAAACAATCCAGCCTATTTCTAATATAAAACGCTCCTGAGCCAGAGCTATCGGCGGCTCGGGCTCCAGCGGCCGGGCGGTAGTGGGGGAACAGGAGGCGTCGTCTCGGAAATCGGCCCGAAATGTGCAACTAATTCCGAGCGCTGTACTAAACCATCGTATAATATTTTAATTGAATCTGTTATCAAATTTCCAAGGTAATATTTTTACTTGCGGATATCGATCCAATTTAATATATTGATCATTTCCACTGGTAGTGCGAGCCACTTTACTCAAGATACTTTCCATCCAAGTCCGAATTTTTTCTTGATTTAGATATGAATCATCATCAATAAAGGATTTCATTTCTCTAAAAGAATAAATTTTTTTTATTGTTAAAAATTAATATATAAGATAAGATATAGATAAGATATAAGCAAGATTTTTATTTTAATGCAAGTTATACTTATTGTTAGAAGCCTTTGAAACATTAGGAAGGTCATCTGTGCGTTTAATTTTAATATAACCTGGACAATCCGACATAAACTGTAATGATCAACAATAGATATTAATTATTGTGCGAATAATTCAATCTTATTATAAGCAATTATATGATTAAATTGATCAATTCATTATTTTTCTTTGTTTTTATATACACGAAACATTGCACTACTACTATATTTTATTTATTTTATATGCAAAAATAAATTTTAAAAATAGTTGTAGACGCAAAAATAAATTAAAAATGTAGAATAACGACTGTAGAATTCTGCTGCCATAAATTCGAAAATAATATTACCTTTGTTTTTATGGGCAAGTTAATCACAAAGTTTATATCATATTCGTTAGGTTTTTCAACTCGTGTCTTTTTGTAATAACTGCCGGCCCACATAATTCTTTGGAATGTTTCATTAAATAGCGGGCTTTCTCGTTTCATAGCTTCTATGAGTTTTTTAAAAATCTGACACATTGCAATATATAGAATTTAATGTATAAATAATAATTAATATATAGAATTTGATGTGTGTATAAGAATATACATATATGTACATGCATATATACATACCTTTTGCAGATCTTGATTATTGTTCTTCACATCGTCAAGATCCAAAGATAAAAATTCCTTGTTTATTGCATTGAATATCGTATCGTCTTTTAAGGCGGTTTTGATATCAGCAACCTGCATCATCGCGAGTTGTGTATAGTTGTTAAACTTTTAAAAATCTGAAATTATTTTAAAATTATATTTACATTATTGTGGCAGTAGTTATAGAAAAACAATACGACAACACATTAAAAAAATAAGGTGATAATAACCCGTACACAGCGAAATAGATACAAAGTTGACGAATATTGATTCGTCATGTTCGAAATGTTCAAGTTAATTTATACCAAGTTATACGACAAATATAACAAGTTAATGTGAATCCATTCCGGATAAATTTTAAGACGGTTTTATCCGACAATGACATTAATTAAACAAACAATGGACTCTGGAATGGGCAGTAAAAAAGACAATTCACACAATTTTTATCTCAAACATTTTTTCGCGGAAATTTTTTTTTTTTAATGTTTTGTTTTAAAAATATTTAGATACATTATTGAAAATAGAACATCTTATATGAATAAATATAAATATTTTATATTTTTAAAATAATGTTATAAAGATTGACATATAAATCTGGTGTATAAAAATTATGTTTTAAAATAGAATAGATTTTTTGTTTTCTCTTTTGCATATATCAAATAAAAATTCTATATATTTAAATATTTTAAACTTAACGGTATATTTTTTAATAATATTGTAATTGCAATTTATTTATTAATTTTAAAAAGTTTTATAAATATTTTATTATAAACGCAGATTATATTACTTCAGTCAATACTATGTTATACTATTTGAATTTTTTGCAATCTAAAATTTCTAAGAAACTAATCGATAACTCAATGGATGCCTTTGTAATTTTATTGCTACAATCACATTCACGTACACGATAATCATTCGATAAAGTATATCGTTCAACTTATTCATCACATTTTTTGGTCAGCATTTCTATAAATAAGCAACGTAACGTTTCAATATAAGCGACTGTATTTATTGTAAGCAGATTGTTGCAAGAAATAAAAAATTAATTAAATAATTGATTATTAAATTATCAAATATTACATATCGAAAAAAATAAGTCTTGTTATACAAGGTGAAACGGAACACAATTTAAATTTGTATAGGTTATATTTTGTTGAAGACAAAAGTTGTGAATAATGTATTATGTGTGTGCAGAAAAAACTCCTTTAAATTTTGTCTGAAGGCGTCAAACAGTCTAAACCTTATATATCAGACTATGCATTGAAAATCGAGATTGCAAATCAGAGATTAGAATTTGACTAATTGAGCAACCTCAATTTTAGTGTCCACTTTATCCTGATAAATCGAATTTCAATTTTTAATTAGCAATCCCAATCTCCAATGTACAATCTGATACAAGTCGAACGCCCTCCTTACAAATGGGTACTTACCAAGTGACGCAGGTAAAATGCAAGGATTTTTGTGAATAAGCGCAATATTATTGCAATATACGATTGCAAACTGGCATAATAAATTAGTCGCAATAATGTGATCTATTGAAATTTAAAATCTGTACACCTTTTTTAATAATAATTTTATTTTTTTTAATTAATTATTAAAGTCACTAAAACAATATGAACAAAACTGCCTGAAGTAAATTGAACATATGTTACTGAGCGCTCGATGATTATCACTGCCTTTATATACGCACGATAACCGAATGAGTCATTCCCCACGCAGCATGCATATCCAGGGAACGTTCAGGAAATGATCTCGTCGACGTATCTCTCAAAGATATTTTCTGGATGTCTTTTGGATATGTGTGCTGTACGGATCAGTTATGAACTGTATAGCCGAGAGCACAAGCTTTTACATAATGCGTAATGCATAAGCATAAGGAAATTGATTGGTCTATATATAAGCATAAGCAAATGCATAAGGAAATGGACCAATCAATTTCCTTATGCTTATGCGTTATGCTTTATGCAAAAGTCTGTGCTCCGGCCATATGAGTTGTTGTAGGCAGTGTTCCGATTAGGGACCGGTTGTATGCGCATGTGCAGCTCTGCGCATGTACGGTAATGGAGATCCAGTGCCGTTATATGTTGTGTGTTGACCGTATGACGGGACGTTTTGACATGAGGAGGTTAGGTGACTACAAATAAGTAATATTTATTTATTTACAAGCATGGAATCTACGGAGCCAGCAGCTAAAAAACCAAGAAGTAGAAAATTTCAATCAATTTCAAAAAATTTTGAAATATTTTAAATGTAGGGGGGTAACGGTGCCTTGTTTAACTTGTATGAGACACTGTACTGACGCCGTATTGCCGCACATGCGCATACAACCGGTTCCTAATTGGAACACTGGTTGTAGGAAGAGGAAAATTCCAACAGATGAGAAACGAGGGGTTTCCCTCTATGCACAGGGGCATCCCCCAGCAATATCATAAAATTAAAAAAATCTTTAGTTTATACAGAGTGTCCCACCAAAAGTGGCCACCCCCTTTTATCTTTTAAATTAAAAGAGATAGACTATAACAAATATATATCAAATTAAATGGTTCAAACTGAACTCCATTGTGAGCATAATAGTTGCTTACAAAAGCTATTCGTGTTAACGAATGGAGAAGTATGCATCATTTTTTTATAATAATGTGGATTTGATTTTGATGTAAGAAAAATTGTAACGCTGTTTGAAAAGAATACAAAACGATATATGATTTAATATAAATATTTTACATATACGAGTTTTATCGGCTTGAAATATCGCGGGCGACGTTTACCTTTTCACTTTCGGCCCTGCGATGTGGCTAACTTCAGACTCATGCGTTAGAGATTGACGTCAATTGAAGTTGTAGCGCTGTCAATTATTAATTAATTATTAAAGTTGGCCATATTGCATATAAATCACACATTGTTGTATTCTTTTCAAACAGCGCTGCAACTTTTCTTACATCAAAATATCCACATTATTATAAAAAAATTATGCATACCTCTTCGTTCGTTAACACGAATAGCTTTTGTAAGCAACTATTATGCTTACAATAGAGTTCAGTTTGAACCATTTAATTTGATATATATTTGTTATGGTCTATCTCTTTTAATTTAAAAGATAAAAGGAGGTGGCCACTTTTGGTGAGACGCCCTATACAAGGTGGGCCATTTTAATCCATCCACGCAAATAACTCCGTAATAAGCCAAATATAGAAAAATGGTTCAGACAAAAGTTGTTCAGGACAATGAGGGTCACCTATTTGTGCTAGTAAATTTGACCTTGAAGTCAATTTTCAAGGTTATTTGAAGGTCAGAGTTATTTTTTTAAATGGAAACCCCTATTTTTGATTCCAAAATCTAATAGCTGGTGTCAAGAGTTTTTCAAAACACTATAATGAAGTTATTTTTCATTAAGCACTTTTCGAGTTATGAGGCTTGTAAATTACAGTATTTTGACATAAAATACAAAATATCTTGT